TCAGAACAAATTCTGGGACTCAGCTCTAATGAGACGTGACTCAAGATAAGCCCAGGATGGAAAATAACAGTTCTGATCAATATGCCTTGATCAAATAAAATCATATACATTGTTAAGGTGGTAAAGAGCAATCAGAAACCAGAACAATCTCCAGTGTTAACTATAAAAAATATTTATTTGCAATAATAAAATGTGCAGCCCCTAAACCCAGGAGCCAGGAAGTTCTCCATTAACTATTTCCAATATTTTTATGAACAATAATCAAATGCTGGTGGAGGAAAAATCCCATTCAAAGACAGTATCTACAGAGGTGTTTGCAGAAAGTTTCCTTTTAGTAAAACACATTTAGTTATACTGTTCATTATACAAATCATTACAATAAAATGAGAATAATTCAGGATATATACAGATTCTTTTTCTGCTTTTCAGCTTTGCTTGTGCTGAAAATAAATAGGAATAGCTTTCCTTCATATAATATTAAACAGAGTGACAAGCTGCTCAGTGCTACCTTTTGCCAGTATAAGCTAGTTCAGAACTGACCTAATTCATCTTATGACCATTTAACGACATGGATAAAGCTCAACTTTTATTCATTACTCAATGCATGCATGAAGGTAAACATCATGAGCAAGACCAAATATTTTTTAATAGCAAAACATATTGACTTCTGCCTTCTCCAGCTGTCCCCACTGTAATAAATATATGATTTTATTAATTAACTGTATCCTACCAGGATCCAGAGCAAAATTGTCTGAAGTGCAGCATGAAACTTAAGCATGTATACAGCTGTCAAGCTGAAATTAACCCACTGGAGGACAGTTTGATGCATGGATGCATAACCCTGTGTAGCACTGAGGTCACATTTCTTGAGCTACAAGCAACAGCTGATCTGCATGTCTACATTGACATGTAATTAACATAATTTAGATGGCACTAAGCCACTAGTGAGCGATACTTTGCACTTCCTCCGGATGTCATTTGTTTAAACATAGGGAAAGCACTATAGAAAATTGTTTGAAGATAAGAAACTGAAATATTCAATGCCAATTTAAGTGCATGTCCAAAGAGTCCAGCAACAAGAATACTCTGGGGTTTTTTTAATATTTGATGGCATCATAGGTTAGCCCCAGCTGAAGGTGTGGTTCATTACCAAGAAGTTACAACACTTGTGAAAATCAATTAAATAGGTATCAGTTTTGGTTGTTTATTGGAAGCCCGGGAAACTGTTTTCAAACTTCAGTTTCTCCAGCTCGGTGTCTTCTGTGGCATTAAACTTTCACTAAGCAGCCAGTGCTGTATCTTAGCGCCAGCTGAATCCTTCACTAAAGGTGACTAAAGGCTTGTTATTGTGCATCCTGATATTCAAAATCCTGAGTAAACCTTGTCGAATCATCAAACAAGATTTCCGGAAGTGCTGTTTTCACCTCTTGAATTCCAGGTGTTTTAAGTATTCCTGCTACCTTGAGAACCAGTCTATTAAAAGTGAAACGAGATTGTCAGGATTCTTGTTCAATACGTCAGGCAAAACCAATTGAGTAACTACGTACACCCATTTCTGGTCTGATCTCATTCCAATTGTTGGAAATAAACAGGAACCAGAAGCCAATAAGGTGTGTCTGCCTGATCTATAAATCCAGTGCAAATAATAAAAATAAATTTTCCAGGTAAATCATCTTGAAACACTTTAAATGTTCACATTTCATCTATTTAGCGCCTGCTAAACAGGCAAAATTGCTGTTATTATTTCCCTTTCCCTGCAGAGCATTTGATTATTGGTTAAATACATTGCACTTCTAAAACCAGGCGTGTAATACTAGACCCATCTGCAGGCTTCTTAGAGTTCCCCTGGGCAACCAGAGATAAAATACTGGCTTTGTACAGTGAAGCACATTTGAGGACAGTGTTTATTGCTGTTACTTCACATGCAGAATATATATATAAAAAAAGCCTGAGGCCTTGCTTATCCAATTGCATCAAATGACATGGTTGGAAGACAACTTTCACATGTTCCATTTTTGTTCCGTCAACTAGATAGACAGAAGAACCAGTTTGTTTGTCATAACATAAAGTAGTCTGCAGCCAAGAGCAGAATGAGACCAGCCTCATTCGCACACAACACTAATCCAAACCATGCAACAAACTGTAGGGAAAACCTTGGCCTCAGATTGTGGATAAGGAGGAAAAGACCTTAACCAAAATTCCAGGTTCGGTTGATGTGCTAAGCTGAGCATTAGTTTAGGTGCTTGTCATCCTGCATTGACATAAATAGCCAAGTGGCTCCAGTCTCCTCCTTAGCAACAGGTTTGCAATCGCATGCACCAACCAGGCCAGAGTGTAAATGTTAAGTTGTGGATGAACATATCAGTAAATAACCTCCTTTATGCTGCTTGCTAACTGACACCCCAAAGTTGTTTTCTATGAGACAGCCATGTTGCACCCATCATAAAGGCAATTGCCTCTCTAGGGATGCAAGGCTGTGCAGAGGACTCCCCATTTGAAAGACCAGCTTGTTGATGACCAAGCCATGGCCCTGTGCCAGAGAAAGCTCCAGGGGTTATGGGGCCCTTGGGCAATCCTGCTCCATGGCAAAGCAAAGCAAGGCAAGGCAAGGCAAGGCAAGGCAGAGGTCAGCCTTGGTTGCAGGGCTAAGTGGAGGCCGGATACTAGCCAACCGGAGGCAGGACAAGTTGAGGAGAACATCAACTGCACTCTAGGAAGTGAAAAAGTGATGGCAAACCTGCAACATGCATTCAGTACAGTCTTATACCACTTCTGACACCCATGTAGCTCTGGGGCAGGTCTCCTAACAGCTCTCAGTACCCATAAGGATTCTTTGGCAGAAGCCATGGATGTTAAGGTGGCATAGGGAGTGCTTTACATTTAAGACTCTCCAAGAGTCTCCTACTGTGGTATGTAGCGGGAGAGCCTCTGGTCTCTGACTAGGGCCTCAGTGGGGTCTTCTGAATCAGAAGACAGCAATGCCACCTCCTCTGGCCAAAGGAACTCTGAACCCCTCAGGCTCATCAGGTAGCGGCACCTCTGGGACGTACCCTTCCCCCTTTTGGTTCAGAGTCCTTGACTTGCTCTCCTGAAGAGGAATCTGCTTTCCGGTCCCTGACACTGAGCCCCCTTCTCTGAGTTGGTCCAACTCCTCTTCAATCCCTGACATCACCACTTGCCTATTCATTTCCCCTCTCCCTCTGGGCCCGAAGCAGAAAACATCCCAGGGGCAACCAGAGTGTGATACTCCATCTTCATATCACTGTTTGTGGGGTAAAATGGGGTTGGGCAGTGTGCGAAAACAACAGAAAGGAAGAGGAGGAGTTGGGCCAGCAGATGCAAGAGATGAGCTTTGTGCCACTGCTTTTCCCTGTGCCAAAAAGTAGCTATTCTACAATCATCACGAATTTGTTTTAGACCTTTTGAATTTGTACATGTTATCAAATATGCTAGAAGAATGGCAAACCCCCAAAGGTCACACCTGTGCTTTCTGCCAAGGCTCCCAGTTCCACTTCTTCCCTTGAAAGGTCAAGCCCACTTTACAAGTGCCTGCACACACAAAAACAGAAGCCTTGGGAGACCTTACACTGCCTATTCTGGATGAGAAAACTAATAAGCTAATATTAGGATGTGTGAAGTTATCATTCATCACATAATGATCCTTTCACAAGACAACTGTGTTGCATAGAAACTGGGTGCAAAAGTCACATTGTGACAACTTTTCTGCCTCAAAAACGATCAGGTAAATCAGCCCCACATGCTGTCACTGAACTTCACTGTCACAATCTGTGTACTCTATGAATAGGTGCTTACATCCGAGAAAATGTAGAACTGTTTTGCCATAGGTGGAAATGGGGGCTGAGCTTTCTGATGGCGTTGCCCACATGAACAAAACGAGCTTGTATTCCATTTAGGAAGAGGTATGTCCTGAATTTCCTACACGCAAATCACTTGTTGTAGGATTAATCTTATTGAAATGAATGTGATTATGTGGCTGAGTTGAAGACGACTCAAAAGGAAAATGTTCTCGGTACATTTGTGCTGTAGTACTGTGCAGTAACATTTTTGATTATCTGTGTCCGATGAACAGAACTGAAGTCCAAAGATGCTTATGCCATGAAAAAAATGTGGTGTTTTTTTTCCTTTAAGGTGCCACAACACTCTCTTTTCTTTTCTTTTCCTTTTTGCTGCAATATATTAACAAGGCTACTCCTCTGGATATTGTTGATTATGTTAGTACCTGCTTTCTTTGAAAAATCACTCTCACTGTGCATCCTAAACGATACTCCCCGGTTGTAATTTCACTGTGAACGTTCATAATATGTTAATGGAATCCAGTTACTATTGATCGGGGGGGGGGGGGGACATCACAAATATCTATATTTTTTAGCTCCAAAGGCACTTCCAGGCTGTTGCTATTTTAAGTGGGGATTCGATCACATTAAAGTTGATTTGCAGTTCTTTCACAAACCTACTTCCCCCCCAAAGGACTGGACTTTTTGCAATAAGGAAAGTGATGGAGAAATGCACTGAAAGTGTGGGATAACAATTGCTTGGCACATCATCATCTAACCTCCTCACAAACAAATCAGGATGAATACCCAATAAATCACAAAAGTCACCTAAACTCCCTGCAAACAAATCGGGATGAACGCTCAACAAACGGGTCATTTGGAAGCAAACCAATATTCCAGCTGTGTCATTCTCCCCGTGTAGCTTGGTCTCCCAGTGATATCTTTATATTATAAAAAACAAAAGAGGAGAGATTCCATTTGCTTCAGAAATGTCTCTGGTCATCTTGCCCCAAATAGTAATTTTCTTGGCATGCTTGGGGAAATGATTTTGCTCCCGTTACAGCAGTGTCCCCTTATCAGATGCAGCCGAAAGGTGACATACACCCTTCTTAGGTGTTCACCAGCCAAGGAAGTGGAGACACAAAATCCACAACATCTTGGTCTGAGAGATGCTTCTGTTGTTGGATAGCAAGAAAGGTTCAGCTCTTACACCAGAGTGCCATTCTTACTGTCATACTTCAGTGTAGCCCGGGGGAAGTTGAGGGTGGCATATTCTGTAGTGTTCTGGGACTGGAACGTCTTCACCTCTTCAGCTGAGCGCTCCCGTATTTTGCTGAAGACCTGGATGTCTGCGTAATGCACACTGCTGTCGTCGCGCTTCATGCTCTTTGGCTTGCTCACGGTGGCATAGACTGGGAACTCAGACACGTCGTCATAAACGGGCCCAACATCCATTCCCTTCAGAGAGAGAGAGAAAGGAGAAGATATTGAGGAAGGCAAATCTCTCTGAAGCAAGCTCAGCCCAATGAATGTTGGTGCATCAGGCGGAAAACCCATATTGCACCCCTGTTGCATTATATTCACTCCATATTTTTAATGTTAGTTTATAAGGGAAGGACCACAGGTCAGTGATGTGGCACCTGCTTTACATCAGAAGGTCTTAGGGCCAACCCACAGCATCTACAGGTAGGACTGGAAGAGGCTCACAGTCTGGAACCCTAGAGAACACTCCCTGTCAGTAAATGCAATACAGTGGTACCTTGGAAGTTAAATGAAATCCGTTCCGGAAGTCCATTTGACTTCCAAAACATTCGGAAACCAAAGCGCAGCTTCTGATTGGCTGCAGGAAGTTCCTGCAGCCAATCGGAAGCTGTGGAAGCCCCGCTGGACGTTCAGCTTCCAAAAATAGTTTGAAAACAGAACACTCACTTCCGGGTTTTGATCATTTGGGAGTCAAGGCATTTGAGATCCAAGGTACGACTGTACTGGGTTAGGCAGACCAATAGCCTGACTCCGTTTATGGTAACTTCCTATTCCTGTTTTACTGTTTTAAAGGGGTTTTATTGTGTAGTCTAATTATGCATGCTCGTACAGTGGTGCCTCGCAAGACGAAATTAATCCGTTCCGCGAGTCTCTTCATCTAGCGGTTTTTTCGTCTTGCGAAGCAACCCTATTAGCGGCTTAGCGGATTAGCGCTATTAGCGGTTTAGCGGCTATTAAAGGCTTAGCGGCTTAGCGGCTAAAAGGCTATTAGTGGCTTAGCGGCTTAGAAAAAGGGGGGGAGCAAAAAAGATCGCAAGACTCGCAAGACTTTTTCGTTTTGCGAAGCAAGCCCATAGGGAAATTCGTCTTGCGAAGTGCATCGAAAAACGGAAAACCCTTTCGTCTAGCGGGTTTTTCGTCTTGTGAGGCATTCGTCTTGCGGGGCACCACTGTATTTTAATGCTATGTGCAATGGGATTTTATACAAGAGAGAACAGCTCAGAAACCGGTTTGGGCTTTAAACAATATATAATATAATAAATAATTACATGGGGCACAATCCACTGGAAAATTCTTCTGCTTGAGCCCCATTGAACATAGGGGGCTGCCTTATACTGAGTCAGACCATTGGTCCATCTAGCTCAGTACAGTCAACACTGACTGACAGCAGCTTCCCTGGATATCAGACAGGGATAGTCTCAGCTTTCCTTAGAGACACTGGGGATCGAACCTGGGACCTTCTGCATGCAAAGCTAGTGTTCTGTCACTGGGCTAGAAGAGAGCTGCTTTTGCTCCATTGAGTCTGTCTTACTAGCACCAGGCAGAGTCTTACTAACACCAGAGCAAACACTTTCATTATTCCAGATTAATTACTCCAGAATTATACATCAACCCATGGTAATGCATTCACAATTATTGATGACTTCAGAATTGCAGTTAAACATACATCAGGATCATAGAAGTTGGATGGGACCCCAAGGGTCTTCTTGTCCAAACCCCTGCAATACAGGAATCTCAGATAAAACATCCATGAGATGTGGCCATCCACCCCCTGTGTAAAAACCTCCAAGGAAGGATGAATGCACCAAAGTAGATGCATTGTGTTTGTATGGTTAAAAATGGCCTGAATTGAGCACACTCACAAATTGACTAGGCTCATGAAGCTGCACTCACAGCACTGCAACTCATATGCCTGTGTGGCCTCTTGTGTGTATGAATTAGGGCCAAGAACGGAGTTATAAGGCTGATCCAATAGGCACGACTTCAACTCAAAGTAACACGGCACTGAATCAGTAACATACTTTAGGAGCTTGTGCAATTGTTAGCAAAGTATTTTGCAATTGGTAGCAAAGTCTTTTCAGAGGCAGTTTTACCTTCTTGCTCTCTGGGTGCTGCTGGGTGCTTGACTTAATGATTCTTGTACCTGCGGAAGAAACAGCTGATATTTAGAGAAGCAGCATAGCTCGTACTAAACAATGATAGGAGAGGCTAAATTAGAACAGCAGAATCCTATTAATGTAAGTTTGTTTTTAAAACAGCAAGTTGCTAGACCCCATGAGTTTACAAACACCTCCAAAAATATGTAGGCACTGTGAGGTTTCCAGTAGGCTTCCGGAAATAGAATTATTCTATCCACCCAGGCACCAGGGCGTTCTTCCTCAACATGTGTTCTGAAACAGCGTCATCTCACAAATACAAATCCTTAATTGTTTTTGAGGGAGGAATGAGACCCCAGCCCCACTATAATTGCTGCAACCAAAACAAGCTAAAAAAAAGCTCAGCAGAAGAGTAAGATTCTGCTGGTAAAACACATGAAAATTAAGAGCAGGGGTGCAAAATCATGTTGTTTGTATTGTCAGCCTCAGACTGTGGGCGCTCAAGTCAGAGCACCTGAGTCTCTTGTGTGTGAAAGTCAATAGGACTTCAGCTATTATTCAGTTATTTGAACACCAAAGAGATCCAGCGCTGAGAGTGAGCCCCCTTCACTGCGACCTTTGCTAATTTTTAACCCAGAGTGAACACATGACCTTCTCCCATGATAAAGCCCAGATCCGTTCCTTTGGCAGAAAGCTTCCCACGAAGCACTGGGGTACAGATGACCACAGTGGTTAGTGGCCATAGCAACATCTAGCAGAAGGAATGTAACAGTGGAGTTTTCCTTTCAAGTCCTCCAAGAAACCTAGGAACATTCTGTTTATTCCTCTCTGCTAACTTTGCTGTTTGTCAAGCGATGTGTTTTGCTAGGCCAGGGCCGCACTGGGCAGCCAGGTAGCAATTCTGTTTATTGTTCTTGGCTCCTGCTTGCTTTTAGGAAGGATGTTTTCAGCTCTAAGCCCAAAGTCTGAATTTGGATGTTTCTTTGTCTCCATGTTGATATACGCCTGGTGCACACATAACATTCTAGTTCTGAAAACACCCTGTTTCCAACTGCCCTTAAAGTATTACCCAATCCTGTTCCCGTTTTCTGTTGTTGTTGTTGTTTCTTACCCACCCTTCACCATAAGGTCTCAAAATGGTTTACTGCAATTTTAAATTCAATATTACAGACCCTCCAAGTGTCACTATTTTCCAGGGACAGTCCAGGATTTACAGAAGCCATCTAGGTTTCTGACTTGATCCCAGAACTTCCCACTTTTCCTTAAGACATCTCTATTTTCATCAGAGAAATGATGGAGGGTATAGAGCTATGCAACCCGCCAAGCCAAGCTGATAAATAACTATATAACCTTTAGAGGACACCAGTATAGGGAAGGTTTTTTTAATAAAAAAAAAGTTTAATGTTTTATTATGTTTTCATATATGTTGGAAGCTGCCCAGAGTGGCTGGGGAACCCAGTCAGATGGGCAAGGTGTAATAAAATTATTATTACTATGGAATAGGACGTCCCTATTTTCCTCAGAGAAATGTTGGAGGGTATGATATTAAAAACAGTTTAGAACAAATTACAGTCATAGGAATAGGGTATATATATTTATGATCAGTGTGTCTTCAGCAGAAACTACATTTCATAACACCTACACACCGCTCGATTGTGAGGGGAAAAACCTCAAAGGGGTTTACAAAAAAGACAAAACAATTAAAATGAACGCTAAACATTTTAGCTTCTTAACATTGCAGCTGCTGCACTGTACTCTGGACTGCCAATAATCTATTTTTGGGCCATTCTGTTTTAGTAGCATATCATTCACACACACACACACAAAGGCATTCTCCCTGCTTCATGTGGTTCTTGGATCAAATGGAGGGCAACCTATTGTACATTAATGCAGCACATAACAGTGTAGAGCAGTGTAGCCCAGGAACATGTGGCCCTGCATATATTTTTCGACGTTCCCAGGCAGTTGTCCCGTTGATCGCTAACAGAATCCCTTGAAACCAATAGGACTTGCTTCCAAGTAAACCTGTTTAGAACTGTGGTGTGACTAGCTGAGTATTGCAGGGTTGTAGGCAGGAGACAAGAGGGTGAAACACCTGGGATTGAGCTTAAAAAATCTGGTAAAGAAGCCACGTTCCAGGTCATTCCAGGTCTTGCATATAAAAAATGTTTGCAGAGGATTATTTACCTGGCTTTTCTTTTTTCCGCTTAAATGGCGAAGGGCAGTTCCTGAAATAAAAGAGACAGAGTTGCATGAAATTCAGAGGGGCTTTAATCCTCTAATGGCGCACTGATCAGTACTTGATAAAGATGTATTGATCCACAGCCTGCCACAAAATGCTGCAGAGTGGAATACTTCAATTTTCTGGTTCTCACCCTCATCTGTCAGTCAGCATTCCATGCCCACTGAGCATGCTCAGTCTTCGTCGGGTTTGTAAAAAGTGCTGGGACGAAAAGAAAACTGCTCAGAAACAGAGCTTTTAAACCCAGACCTGTGCCTAGAAAATCGGCATGAAAGGAAGTCTGGATGAGCCCTGACTGGGGATTTGAGCCCTTGTCTCCCAGGTTTCAGTCTGATGCTCCAACCATTACACCACCCTGCCTCTCATTGGCTGTAACACGACTGGTGCTCTAGATTTCAGCATTGCCACCAGCAGAGGGGAGAGATACCACCTTGTTATATGGCTAGCTAAAGAATGGAAAAATACCAGGGTGGGTTGGGGGACAGAGAGAAAGGAGGTGCGGCTGTGGGGAGCCTGTTGCTAAGATACCCGCCTAAAAACTCATTTTTCCATGGAAAGGGTTGGAAATGCCGAGAGCTCCTGGGCAGGGAGCCACAGCTGGCAGCTCTGTGACCTTCTTCAGAAACAAACACCCGGCTCTCGTAACATGCCTCCCCTCCTCCAGCCAGAAGCCATGGGGCAGCACGCAGACCGAAGGCATTGTACAGTCAGCAAGCACACACTGGCTGGCTTATGGAAAGAGAAGAGAATGGACCCTGTTCAGTACAGACCACCCCACCCGTCCTCTTCCCAAAGCTGGACATTGTCCTTTGCTACCAGTGAGGACGCCTGCTCTCTTTCCCATGAATAAGAAAGTTGTTTCGCAGCTGTATTTTGCTTCCATGTGATCCAGTACTTGTTTGCCCTTTCTGTGCTTTTATGGAGCCTAAAACTAATGTTGAACTGGAGCATTTTGTTTCTCGTTTTCTGCCAGAGGTTTTTCCCCCAGGGCGGAGTTAGTGATTAGATCAGCCACATGTTTTGGAATGCATCTCCCATAAGCCCTAGCCAGGATGATTTTGCTGGCTGATGGGAGTTGTAGTCCGCAAGCACAGTTAAAATAAGTTGTGATCCCATAAGGCATGGTTCCTTGTAAAAGTTTGTTTCACATAATGGTTTGTTGCCAAAAAACAAACAAACCATGGTTACTCTGCGTGGCTGAGTTCAAATGTCCAAACAAGCCATACTTTAGCCAAACAAATCAGGGCATAGCATCATGTCTGAAGCATAGCAGCTCATTTACATGAGTAGGGCTGCCATACGTCTGGATTTTCCCGGACATTACCAGGATTTCAAAGGAGGAATTGACGTCCAGGGGAAATTTCTTGGATCTTAAGCAGCAATATATATAATATGGCAACCCTAACCTAAGAGTAAGCTGCACCAAACTCAATGGGATTTGCTTCTGAATAAATATGCATAGGATTCCATTCTGAGAGTGGTATCCATTGGTGGTATCCATTGGGACTGGTAGGGCGAAAGGCAGAGAGGCCAATATAGGCAGAGCCAGAACCAATGACAGACAGAGCCAACTAATTCTACTTTTGCCCCCATCCTCTTTCCTCCTGACATCTACAAGGACAGCACTGGAACTCAGGGGGAAGAAACTGACTAGCAGTGGCTCCCTGCTAGACAAGTAGGCAGGCAAGGGCTGGCTGAGGATGGACTGAGGTTGGTGGGGCAGTACCCCATTCATTCACCCAAAAGGACTGCACTGCAGATAAAATCCATTCTGCCTCATTTTCCAAAGTGTTTTCCTTCCCTGCTGCAAGTCCAGAGACTTACGCCAGGGGTCAGCAAACTTTTTCAGCAGGGGGCCGGCCCACTGTCCCTCAGACCTTGTAGGGGGCCGGACTATATTTTGGAAAAGAAAAAAATAATAATGAATTCCTTTGCCCCACAAATAACCCAGAGCTGCATTTTAAATAAAAAGGCACATTCTACAAACACGCTGATTCCCGGACCATCCGGGAGCTGGATTTAGAGGGCTATTGGGCCGGATCCGGCCCCCGGGCCTTAGTTTGCCTACCCATGACTTACGCTATCTTCTTGTAATGCAAAGAGCAGATGGAGCATCATGAAAGACCCACAACTCTACTGGCCATCTTTCCACTCCGGCACCAATTTGTTCATTTCTCTGTTCTGCCAAGGCCTGGGCAGTGCAATTAAAATAGCTCGGCTTTAAATATAATCATTGGCATCCTAAGCCTGTTTCCTAAGAAATACAAGGCCCCTGTATCATTTTTCAGAGCTGCTTTTCTCTTGTATCGGTTGGCAGAGAGGAGGGGTGTTTTAACAAGCTGCCCCGCAGGCGTTGGCTATTCTGAGGCTGTCTGCGGGCTAATCCCCGGCTCGTCCGTCCAAAGGCATCTCCGAGCTTCTGCTGGATCAGACAGAATTAGAATGGACAAGGATGGGAGAGAAGTCTACAGCAATGAGGCTGCTCCCTCTCTCTAAACCAAATACAAAATGTTCCTGAAAAATCTTGCCCTTTGAGACTTAAGCCCTAACCCTCACAAACCACTTTTTCCCACAGCTACGCAGAACTACTTGATCACAGTTGTCCATGTATTGGTAACCTGCAGGCTGGATTACCGCAATGTGCTCTGTGTGGGGCTTCCCTTGAGGCTGGTCCAGGGGGATGCTGCTGGTTTAAAACCAAGCAGCTAGGCTGCTTGTTGGGACAAACTTCCACCAGCAAATACCACCTTGTCTATTGGCTACCAACCTGCTATGAGGGCTAAGCTCAAGGTTTAGGTACAGTGGACGCTCGGGTTGCAAACGTGATCCGTGCGGGAGGCACGTTCGCAACCCGCAGCGCCGTGTCTGCGCAGGAGTGGGGCACGATTTGGTGTTTCTGCGCATGCGCGAGTGCCAAAACCCGGAAGTAACCCATTCCGGTACTTCTGGGTTCGGCGCTGTGCGCAACCCGAAAACGCACAACCTGAAGCATCTGTAACCTGAGGTATGACTGTCCTAACATGTAAGGCCGTGTACAGTTTGGGGTCCGGTTATTTGAGAAGCCGTCTTAACCCTTACCTACCCAGTAGTGATAGGTCATTGCATTCTGCAGAAGAGATTATCCCCCCAAAAATATCAGAGGACCACGCAATACTATTTTTCTAGAAAAAGAGGCGCCGGAACTCATCATGAATACCTTCCTTGTTCTCTTATGCAGTAATGGCAATGGTGTCCACCTGACACTTGCCAGAACCAAGTTCCAGTCAGTTCTGGCTGGGGGAAAACCTGCCCTGGGCCCACTTCACAGCAACTCAGGTTGGGACTGCCCCTGTTTTGTGGAACAGCATCTCTTAAGATTCCTTTTCAGAAATAAACGGAAGACGTGTTTGTTTCAATACGTTTTTCCAGTTGGGTGAAATGGTCTCTGGCCTCAGGTGTTTATTCTGTGTTGTTTCTAAACCTGTATTACATTGTGCTTTCTCTACTTTAAAATAAAATAAAATGCTTAAGGTATTTTTATTGTATGTTTGCAAATCACCATGAGCCTCATGGGAAATGCAATTCATAAACAAAATAGATAAGCGATTACAACCTGCAGCTGTTTCCACAATGCAAACATGGTGCAAAGTTCCTTTTGTACAATCAACAGCATTTCTCCATCTCTTGCGCTAAATTTCCATGCTGCACTCTAGCTACTCCAGGGCCTTGTCAAAAAATATTAATATTCTGCAACTCAGCTGGGGGTGGGGGCTAGATTCAGCCCCTCTTTCCTCCATCTAGCTGCTTATTAAGTGGGATAGTAATCTCCACTGGTTGCTTGTATCTCATAACTTTACATGTCCTGGAATGCAATTTTCCTTCTTCATGGGATTTTGACAAATAGAGAGATAAACTTAGGTCCTATGGAAATCAATGGGACAGGTTAATAATGGCATAAATAAAGTCCCATTGTTTCAATACAAACTAAGTGCAACCAACTTCTTACTTGGATTTAGCTCACTGTTATTTCAAATCACCAGCTCAATTAATTATGATACCACTTCAGTCCATTAGAAGTTTTTGAATCAATTAATCTAACTGATCAAATGCACACTCCAGCCCTAATGGCAATAGATGCTGAAGTACTCTGAGCACTCTAAAATGCTACATAAATGTTAAGTATAATTATTACTCCTACTGCATTATCTGTGGAAGAGAGTGGCACTGTTAAGCAGAAATTATGTTTCAGCCAGCTTGCCTTGTACGGCTCAGTTAAAGATATGGGAAACTCACATTCTGATTAATTTGTTGTTGTTTGCTGTTTAGTCATTTAGTCGTGTCTGACTCTTTGTGACCCCATGGACCAGAGCACACCAGGCACTCCTGTCTTCCACTGCCTCCCGCAGCTTGGTCAAAACTCATGTTAGTAGCTCTGATTAATTTACACTTACTTATAAACACACACACACAAGCATCCTTTTCTCCTTCAGGGTAGCTCTGCCACTCTTTGTGCAATTCAGAAAACCAGCAAAATGGGGGCTTTGATCAGGGGTGGAGAGGTGGGGAGTGAGAGCACAACTAGCAACCTGTTTGCAAAATATTTCCTCCCGCTGAGTAAAACACCCTGCTCAGGTGGGACAAAAGAGAGCAGTGAAGAAGACCCCTTTGTGCAGGCAAGACACAAAGCCTTGGAGTCCCACTTGACTCCACCAGAAGCACTTCAAAGCGGCAGCAACTCAGTCAAATGGGGCTTTTGAAGCAGGGCCAGATTTAGATGAAGAGAGCCCTAGGCTACTCCACTTATGAGGGCGCCCCCCATCCCCCACCCTCACAACTAGAAGAAAATGGAAGAGTGTTATAAACAAATTTGAGTGGAGACAAGGATGATGACGGGTATTTAAAATTCTACAATTCACAATTTCTCCTCCAAAGGACATAAGATATTATTGTTCAATACCATGGTGATTTTTAAAAATGCATAAAATTAACACTGAAAAACTTTTGCAATAACTGAACTTTGTAAACCTTTTGTGGCCTGGGCAGGCCTGGAACTAGTTCCCATGTCTTGTTCCTCTCTAAGGAATCAAGTTCAGCCTTCATGGCATTTAACCATGGCTCAGCATCCTCTGAGGTTAAACTTTGGACCTCTTGGAAGCTTGAAGGTTCCCAAACTTTCTCTGAGCTACTAACAACAGCTGTATCTGCTATGATTGTTTTAGCAAACTCTTCAGCATACCTTTTGGGTGGTTTACCCTTTGTCACCCTTTCAGATCTGCATACTATACACCAGTCTTCCATGTTAGGCTTCTCCTCTTTGGGAGAACGCTGGGCAGGCCACAGGCCTGGGCAGGCTGGGCTGTCCTCTTATATACCTGCTGGGATTGACAAGGCATCTGACCCTCACCTGAATCTCATAGCTCTCCTGTAGCTGCCTCTGATTAGTTATCATGTAACTCTTCGGGGAAATAATTAGCATCACACGTCATGTGCATGGAAGTTGCCGAACCAATTAACCAGCTAGAAGGATTACTGTTAATAGCACCAGTTTTCCTATAACTTGATATTCCTGGATAGTTTTGATGAACTGCAAAAGCATTTTTAGTTTGTTTTCTGTTGCCACCCTGGAACTTTTCTTTATTGTGCCACTTTGTTTTGTACGATTCCTTGCAAATGAAGGAAAACAACTTTTCTGCTTGTATATGTTGATAATATAATTTTGGTGACTAAGAACAAACAAGATTGTACAAAAACAAGACTGGGTGCAGGCCTGGCCAGGACATAGGCGTCCTGACTGTGACAAAGGTGACCTGTGTGCTTGCTTGATTAACAGCTGTTGGGAACTTCAAGGTCCCTGCTCTCCCTTCTTATGGTCTTTGTACTGGACCTGGAGACTCCAATAGAGAGCATTCCATGTCAAGAAGGAGGGCAAGTGGGCACTCTATCAAATGTCAGGACAGGAGTTACACTGAGCAGGGCCTTTTCACTGGTGGTGCCCATTGTATGGCTCGCTCTTCCCAGGCCTGATCTCTTTTGGCCAGTATTTTGGAGCTTTATAATTTAGGAAGACTTTGGAAGAACTGGTTGACAAGTCTTATCAGTTGCTGATGTATGAGCAGATTTTATTTGCTGCTATTCTGGGCTTCTGGTGCACCAGGGTTTACACCAGCATAATAGAGTTGGCCAGGATGCCAGAAGGGATACAATTTATGAGCTTTCTCCATTATCTGCACAGCAGGGGGTGTTCAGTCAACAGTGCAAAGGCTGAGCTGAAGCATTCCCTGCTGGTTACCTGCTTTCAGCAATAGGGGTCGCTGTTTGGTAGTACCCAATTGGTTAGCTGTCAGATTCTAGAGCTCCCTATTGGTGGCTCTTAGGTAATTCACAAAATACAGAGTCCATTCATAAAACACCGTGTTCATTCATAAAGCAGCAACATAAATCTCCATTGCTACATATTGGGTGTATATTTCAGCAGTTGAACTTACAGGTTTATGGCCATGCTGTGGTGTAGTGCTTATGCAACTGTGAATAAAAGGTGGCTGAGGTCATTGTCTCGGGGTTTGGGGGGGGGAAGAGGTGACAAAACTGATTTCCAATATGTGCCCCCCCCTTATTTCCATAACAAGTCCTTAAGTCTATACTCTGAATGGTGACACCAGGGACCTAGAAGGTGCAGGGCTTGTCCGTCCAACCCCTGCACAGTCTCATCAGGGCTGACCTTAAGGCAGTTGGAGCAACTGGGCCAAATTGGGCCCTGTGTGCTGCTCCTAAGGAGGCCCCTGCACCAGGGCAATCTAGATGGATTTTATTTATATCTATAAGATTTTGCAGACTTTGGCTGTGAACTGGGGCCCTACAAGAAAAAAAAATTCAAGTTGCGCCCCACTGCTTCAAATTAGGCCCCACTGGCCAGCCCTGAGTCTAATAGTTGCTGGGCCTTAGTTGCCCTGCCCTTGCATGAAGTCTTGGGTTTACACTTTTGGGAGAGGGGAGACAGCTGCACTGGGGAGCGGGCAGGCTGGCAAGGCCCCCTAGATTTAGAGGCGTGAGTTGCCCTGCCCTTGCGTGAAGTCTTGGGTTTGCAATTTTGGGAGAGGGGAGACTGCCCGCTGGGGAGCGGGAGGGATGGCGAGGCCCCCTAGATTTAGAGGCCCTAGGCTTCAGCCTACGTAGCCTATACATAAATCCGGCACTGGTGGGGAGACGAAGGGCCCACCCACACTTTCAAAACCTGGGTCCAAGAAGTTGTGTGTTTGTGTGCTTCTGCTGCTTTCCTCAGTAAAGTCAACTGTTTACTGCTGAATCGGAACAAACGTAAATCCACAGAAAACCCAATTGACATTTGCTCTGATTCAGCGATTGAATATCAGATTTTACTAGGGAAAGTGGTGGGGCCAAAAGACACCCCCCCCCCAAAAAAACTTCTCAGACCTGAAATCACTTTCAAGGGAGAAATGAAAGTGTAGATGGGGCCCTGAATGTAGCAAGAGCTCCAGGGAACACGTGAGTTCCAAGATTCCCACCAAAGCACCTTTCTGTTGGAAGATTTCAGGCAGAAAAAGCAACAGGAGCCATTGTGGACTGGAGTCTGCAAAATCATGGGGGGGGGGGAGGGAATACCTTGCAATCTAGGAGCAATTTTTAAAAAGTCAGTTTCTAGTCCTCATTACTTATGGAGATAGAGGGGGGAACTCGGAGGCATGATTCTGCTTAAACTGCTCTCTAAGAGAGACATTTGTTCCTGCTTTCTAGTATTCTGGCCCACACGTTCAAAAACTGTAAAACAACCGACAAGCACATTACTTGTTTTTAGAACGGCATTTGCGCCATATGTTGAAAGCACTCTTATACCATTTTAAGTGTCACAGCTTCCTCCAAAGAATTCTGGGAACTGTAGTTTATTAAGGCTCTCCTAACTCTTTAAGTACCCAGTAGATATGTTTAAAACAAAGCTAAAACAAACCAGATACTCATGACAAAAGCCCATTTTCCCAGCTGTGTTGCCATTCACAAAGTACACAATCAAATTTTTGATGGAGATGCTCAGCAGGAGTCTGAAATGTCTTCTCAAGCCTAGCAGACCAGGCCAAAATATCTGAATCCCAGCTGCTGGGAATCACAAGTGAGGATTCAGGTCCAGCTTGTAGGCTTCCATTTTGAGCATCTGCTTGGCCACTGTGAGAACAAGATGCTGAGCTGTGATGAGACTTTGGTCTGACCCAGCAGGCCAGGCTCCTCTTAGGTTCTATTCAGAACCACCTGAACAGAAAACGTTGTCCTTAACCTCAGGAACAGGGCTGGGAAACCGGTGGCTTGCCAAATGCTGTTGGACTCCCAAGTTTCAACATCCTTGACCATTGGCTATATTGGCTTGGGCTGATGGGAAACAAGGCACCATTCACAGTGTTATGTACTGAAGTTCCCACCCTGGGCCAGCAGGGGGATACTGTAGATAGTTTTCACTCAGGTCCACATATGCAAATAAGGGATCGAAAGTGACGTTCAGTGATTGGATAGTTACAGAAAATGGTTACTGTTGCGTTCTAGTGGAGCTCTATATAAGCAGGCTAGCTGAACCCTTCAGTTCAGTTCTGGCCTGTGAATAAACAAGAGCTGTTTGAAGAATCGCTGTGTCGTCTGATATGTTCACCCACAACTTAACACACAGGTTCCCCAGCCTTGCCTGAGGGGGATTCCCAGATTGCTAGCAGCCCTGTATAGGGAAGCTTTCTAAGGTGTAATGTTTTATTATGTTTTTATATATGTTGGAAGCTGCCCAGAGCGGCTGGGGCAAACCAGCCAGATGGGTGGGGTACAAATAATAAAATTATTAATTATTATTATTATTATTATTATTTATTATTTATTATCTGTTCTGCAGTTATCCAGCATGTGCTTTTGCTGACCCACCCACCACCATTCCATTTCCCACTTGCAGTCAAGAGAAGCCCTTTCTCTTTGTGATGTTGATCTCATCTTCACATTCACAGAAGGGATGGGTGAATCTGATCTGGGTTTTTTCCCTTTTAATTTTCCCCTGTTGCCCCAAACTGGCTTTGAAAAGCCCTGCAGAGAGGTCACAGCTACGCCATACATTTAAAGCACATATGGCTTCTGCCAAATAGTCCTGGGAACTGTAGCTTAACACCTACACCCACAAAACAATGATTCCCCACCATGCTTAACAAATTACGGTTCCCAGGATTCTTTGGGAGAAGCCACCTCCTTTAAATTTGTGGCGGGGATGGCTCCACAAGCGTCTGTGAGAAGTTGGACTCCTCACAGCAGAGGCTCAGGGAGCCAGTGTGGTGTAGTGGTTAAGAGCCATAGACTCGTAATCTGGGGAACCAGGTTCGTGTCTCCGCTCCTCCACATGCAGCTGCTGGGTGACCTTGGGCCAGTCATACTTCTCTGAAGTCTCTCAGCCTCACTCACCTCACAGGGTGTTTGTTGTGGGGGAGGAAGGGAAAGGAGAATGTTAGCTGCTTTGAGACTCCTTCGGGTAGTGATAAAGCGGGATATCAAATCCAAACTCTTCTTCTTCTTCTTCTTCTTCTTCTTCTTCTTCTTCTTCTTCTTCTTCTCATTTGATAGGTGCCCGCAGACCAGTGGTTTGGTGGTAATCAAATTCTGAAAGGCTCCCTGTTTGCTTGTATGTGTGCTTGTCGTGAAAATAACACTAGAAGTTGCGTGTGTCAAACCAGATATCCCAGGTGAGAACATCGGGTGTTTGTGTGTGTGTGTGCTTTTTTAAAAAAATTAAGGACCAAGTTGAAAATCCACCAACAAATCTAGACAACTTTTCACCAGGAAATAACTCTGCAGTTCTCTCTCCACTAGATGATGCTATTTCTCTGTTCGACCACAAACCATTAGCGTCACAGCAAAACCGAAAATCAATACTTCTGTTACACAGTGAGCCTTCTCTCCTCTTGCTCAAAGCAGTCTTTCAGACAGCGGCCACACCGCAGACTGGGCTCTCCCCACCCACACTCCCAATGTAGGAGATCCTTCCACCTGCCATAAAAGGAATCTGCTTCTTTCTGCTGCTGCTTCTATTACTGTATTTACTCAGTATCAGATGCTCACCTTTTTTTGCCCAAATTACATTGTGAAAATTGAGGTGCGCATTAGATTCAATGGCACATTTACATTCACCAGCAAATACTTTTTTTTTGTTTCAAGGTTCTGAAAATTGAGGTGCGCAATAGATTCGATGGCGCATTAGACTCAAGTAAACACGGTATACAGTGGTACCTCAGGTTAAGTACTTAATTCTTTCCGGAGGTCCGTACTTAACCTGAAACTGTTCTTAACCTGAAGCACCACTTCAGCCAATGGGGCCTCCTGCTGCTGCCACGCCGCCAAAGCACGATTTCTGTTCTTATCCTGAAGCAAAGTTCTTAACCTGAAGCACTATGTCTGGGTTAGCGGAGTCTGTAACCTGAAGTGTATGTAACCTGAAGCGTATGTAACCCGAGGTACCACTGTATAGGAGGCAAAATAAATGGGGACTGCTAGGGAGATTCCTCCCCAGAATGGAAGGACTATAGCTCAGTAGAACAGCATCTGCTTTGCATGTCAAAGGTCCTAGTTTCAATCCCCAGTGGTATGTCCAGGTAGGGCTGGGAGAGACCCCCTGCTTGAAGCACTGGAGAGCTGCTGCCAGTCAGTGTAGACAATACTGAATTAGATGGACCAAAAGGCAGCTTCATATGTTGCTAGATCACACCAAACTACTCTCATTTGGGACTCAACTTTTCCCTTTTTTAAAGGGAAATTCCTTTATTCCGAATAGGATTCCTCGCAAGAAAAGGGAAAAGTTGACAGCTATGGACTCCATAGGCTGAATGAATTTTTGGCACCCCGAGCTTAGGTTCTCAAATGCCCAAATAGCGGTTAAGGTAAAGGGACCCCCGACCATTAGGTCCAGTTGTGACTGACTCTGGGGTTGCGGTGCTCATCTCGCTTTATTGGCCGAAGGAGCCGGCGTACAGCTTCCGGGTCATGTGGCCAGCATGACTAAGCCGCTTCTGGTGAACCAGAGCAGCGCACGGAAACGCCGTTTACCTTCATGCCGGAGCGGTACCTATTTATCTATTTGCACTTTGACATGCTTTCAAACTGCTAGGTGGGCAGGAGCAGGGACCGAGCAACGGGAGCTCACCCCATCGCAGGGATTCGAACCACCGACTTTCTGATCGGCAAGTCCTAGGCTCTGTGGTTTAACCCACAGCGCCACCCGGGTCCCCATAAATAGTGGTTGGAACCCCCTAAAAGAGAATGGCTGAGTGACAACCGGGATGTTCCTAGTTCGAAAGTCGCCCAAAGTCAGTGGCATTAGGCACAGCACTCTTTCCTAGCCTCACCACCTCATCTGCAATATATGGAAAAGAATGGATTTCTTTTCAATAATTAAACTGTTGGGGGTTTTCAGGTTGTTGTTCCATACTTTCTGCAGATTAACACACTGGATTCTCAAGTGGCTGTCGATCCAACAAGGATTGCCAACTGACCCCCCACCCTCGGTCAGCTCTTATGTTTTTAACTGTTGCCTGATATATAAAGTTTTTTCTCAGCATGGAGATAATAAACATAACTGCCTATTAAAGGCAAGACAAAACTGCTGCTAAGGTAACAGGAGCAGCAACAGGTGGGAAAAGTTGGCAGCCTGCTAGCCTTCCTCTGAGTGGTTAATTTCTAAAAGGGGAGGTGCCAGCACTCCAGCCTGCCCATCAAACTTATACACATTGACCTCCTATAATCTAGTACAGGGATGGGGAACCTGCAGCCGTCCATCAGCCGCATCAGCTAGCAGGGCCAATGGCTGGGGATGATGGGAGTTGTAGCCCACCAACATCTAGAGAACCACAGGTGCCCGCCCACCCCCCAGCCAACCTGGTATGTATGGGCTAGTGGCAGCTCTCATTGGGACAGGCAGCAGACCCTGTACGTGCTCAGCAAATAAGTCTCAGGGTTTTGACAATGAATTAGCTTCTGCGTAGGGCTGAGCCCTCTTGACACCTGTCTCCAGTTAAGCTCTGCCTCCTTTGGAGAAGTGGAAGCCGCTCCAGGAGGATCTCTCTGTATCTTGCCTGCAAAAGCATTTAAGGCAGATCAGGAGACAGGCAATCTCCTCCTGTGGATGTGAAACCTGGAACGCTTCCATCCTTCCCCTAGTCGATACCAGGTGCTGCCCGGGTGGCTCTGCTCCCGGCCACGGGGCTGAGGAGGATGGTGGTGGCACCAGCTAGAAGAACCAGCCAAGCTCTCCAGACCCGGCAGGGAAACACCACCTCTCCCTCTCTTTAACACGACGCAGCTGGCAAAGCTGGTCTTCTTCGTAGCCCTGGGCTGCCCCCAAGAAGCGCTCCCTCCCTCTTTGCCCAGCTCCCAAGCAGCAAGCCGGCCCCAGCTAACTCACCAGACGCAGCAGCAGCACTGGTTGCCCATTTCGCTCTCCGGAGGGAGAAATCTTGCCTTTCTGGAGAGGAGAACCTCACTGGAGCACAGGGCGCCCGCATTTCCTGGTTCCCTGTTCAGCCCCTGGCAGATCCAATCTAAGGGAGTGTCTGGATCATGGACGTGTCAGGTTTCTCCCTCCATCAAGGAAGGCAAAGCTGTGTGTGCCATCTACTGGACAGAAGATCTCCCGAAGGCAGCGGCGGCAGAGTCTGCTGCTGTCGCTGCTCCTCTCCCAGCTGCTCTGCTTCTCCCCCTTGACTCTCTGCCTTGCTGGCTAGGGAGTTGGTGGCAGCTTGAGTTATAGGAGTTAGATGCACAATGGCTTTTGGGCTCCTCACATCCGCTCGGAGCATCATGCCCAGGACATTCAGCTCTCCGCCGGAAGAGCTGAAACGGGTGAGGAATCTGGCAGGCGCACGCAGAAGGAATCACATCCATATGGACAGATGCGCAGATTTTGATTTTCAAAAATATTTCCAAACTTCCAGTGGGGTGAGGAGCCGACTTGCCTGTGGTTTCAGGCTTGTCTTATTCTCATGCAACATTTTGCTCCAAAAAATACCCACCTGAAGATCATGAGCCCGACTTACTGGCCCGACATCAGTGGCAGACTTTAGGCTTTAAAATTTCAGCAGCAAAATTGGTGCAACACCAAAATTCAGAGCCCCCACTTCTCGTTTTCTGTTGTACGGTGCCCAGTGTGGGTGAACCAGTCATGCTCCCCTAAGTCTACCTCTGCCAACATCCTCCTTTCTTCCCCACCACACCATGATATGATGATGAGTGTGTGGTTAATTTATAGGAGGGGGGCTAGTGTATTCTTTACTTTTATGTTCCTGAGAGGCCTCCTGAGCCCTCTGCAGTTGCAAAAGCGACAGCAGTTCTACAGGTGGCCTTTGCCATCCCTGAACATGCTATCTGCAGCTTTTTGGCAAGGGAATTCCAAAAACCAGACTCAGGAAGTTTTGAAACAAAAACAGGGTATATGTAGCTCTCTCTGCTCTTCTCTATCACCAGTCACCTTGCATCTGTAGGGGACTGCAAGGGATAAAGGAAGAGGAGATATTCTGCTCATTGAGATCCCCAGCAGAATTGGGGTTAGGTGGAAAGGCTGTGGCCAAGAAGCGGACCATAGCCGAGTGAGAGAGCTCGTGCTTGGCATGTAGAAAGGCCCAACTTTAACCTCCATTTGAAAAGATCAGGCGACAGGTGATGGGAATCATAAGAGCCCTACAGGATCAGTCCAAAGGCCTGCCTCCTCCAGTATCCTGTTTTCACAGTCACCAACCAGATGCTGATTGTGGAAAGTGTGAAGAAGAAGAAGAAGAAGAAGAAGAAGAAGAAGAAGAAGAAGAAGAAGAAGAAGAAGAAGAAGAAGAAGAAGAATTTTTATTTATACCCTGCCCAGGGCGGCTAACACCAATAAAATCACAGTAAAAACATAATGGGGGGGGGGCAATTTAAAATACAGGTTAAAATGCAATTTGAAATGCAGCCTCATTTTAAAAGTAGCCGATAAATCAAGACCATAAGGGGAGGGAAACGTAAGGGTCAGACTGAGTCCAAACCAAAGGCCAGGCAGAACAGCTCTGTCTTGCAGGCCGTGCGGAAAGATGTCAAGTCCCGCAGGGCCCTAGTCTCTTGTGACAGGGGCTAGTACTGAAAAGGCCCTGGCCCTAGTTGAGACCAATCTAACCACCTTGCGACCTGGGACCTCCAAAATGTTGTCATTTGTGGACCTCAAGGTCCTCCGCGGGGCATACCAGGAGAGGCAGTAACACTTGCTTTGACGCATCATCATCTAACCCCCCACAAAGAAATTAGAACGAATGCTCATTAAATAACCAACATTATCTAATCTCTCTGTGAACCAATCAGAATGAATCTTCAATAAGCAGCTCATCTAGAAGCATCCAGAGTGCCTGATCGTTTTAGTGGCTTCCACTAAATTCTATATTCACAGTGCAAACAAGTACAGTACAGTAGCCCTGAACAACCTCCCTCCCCAGAAACACTAGGCCTTTGCTAATACGAGCACAGTCCCTGAATCTGTTTTGATTTCCAGACCGTCTATTGAGTTTTCGTAGCCCTGTGCTGAGACCCAAAAATAACACAAACTCTGGGTTTGCACGCCTGCTCCTTTAAGCCCCTCTCTGGACATGTGCTCAGTTTGCTCAGGGGTTTTTTTTAGCTCCTCGGGGGGAAACAGAGAAGCATCAAAAACACCACCCCTGCCAGCCAATCCTTGGCTGCCAGTCCACATTCCCTTTTCATAACGTGTCTGCGGGCACAAAAGGGAGTCTGGGTCTCAGCGCCCAGGCTTAACAATGCAATGCGGGGCAGTGGGGTGGGGGTGGATTATGCTTTGCTGGCAAAAATCTGGGCCTGTAATTCCCTGCAGTAGATGGGCCAAAACCAAGACCCACTTCTTTGGGGCCTGAAATGTAGGGATGGGCAAACCAGAATGTTATTATTCCAATCTTAAACTCAGCTCTCCACATTTCTGCAGCAATTTGCGATTTGTTTTTTAAAATCCTCATGAAAATTCATCAGCATTTTAGTGCAATTTTCTCCCACTAAATGCATTTTTGTAGTTTCTTGTTTAGCAATATGCACATTTTGCATGCTATTTTGTGACTAATATATACATTTTTAAGGTGCATCCCTCCCCCTCCCCCATTCTATGCATTTTTATGCACTGTTTGGTTGGATAGCTGCATTGCAAAATACGGAGAACTGCAAATATTGAAGGATGGTTGTGTTTTGGTTCACACATTGGCTCAAGGGGTGTGTAATTAGGAATGTTCTTTTCCACCGCTACTGACACGATCAATAATCTGTTTCTGTAACAAAGGAATTGAGCACTGGCTGGAAGAAGGGAACAGTGCGCAGCTCTGCAGGGTAGCATCCTGAAGTCCGCCAGACCAGCACAGGGCAGAGAAAAAGAGGAAGAAAAGTCAGAATTACTGAGTTTTGCAAATGTAAGAAGAGGCCTGCTGGATCAGACCAAAGGCACATTTGGCATCCGTTTCTCTCCATTATTAACTGAATGCGTATGAGAAACCCACAAGTAGGACTTGAGTACAAGAGCTTGGCTGCTGCCAAACTCACTGGATGATCAGAGGCCAGTTCCTGTTTCTTAGCCTAATTTACCATAGATATTCTTCCCAAGCAAATTTGCCTAATATCATGCATTCTTGCATGTTGTTTAATATATGCATTTTAATGCACAAATTACCCTAGTATATGCATTTTTGTACACCTTACTTGGCTGGGGAACTGCATTGCAGAATCTGGAGAAGCATGACTTTCTAAACATCATAGAATTGTAGAGTTGGAAGGGTCCCAAGGGTCATCTAGTCCAGCCCCCTACAAGAATCTCAACTAAGGTATCCATGACACATGGCCATCCAACCTCTGTGTAAAAACCTCCAATGAAAGAGAGTCTACCACCTTCTGAGGGAGTCCGTTCCTTGGCAAGAAGAAGAAAAACTTTTCAGGCTAAAGTTTCCTTCTTATTGAGCATCCCATTAGGCAGAGGGAGGCAGCTGGCTTGAGCAGCTGATTGTGGGTGGTGCCAAAGGACAGCAAATCGTTACTTATTTTATTCTTGTCGGGGTTTTTTAATGCCCAGTGAAAGAGAGAGGGCTTTGAGGATCCCAAATTAACTTGGGTGCTATGCACCTTCCCAGAGGTGTGGAAGATAAACTATGCATTCAGATGCCTCTTGAGATATTGTAGCCAAATTTGCATGAAGATTCATTTGCTTTCCCTGATACCTTCAGCTGACAAGTACTTGGCATTTTTTCAGGGTCATTACAATTTTAATGATATATTTTAGGAAGTACTGTATTTTTTGCTCTATAAGACTCACTTTTCCCCTCCTAAAAATTAAGGGGAAATGTGTGTGCGTCTTATGGAGCGAATGCAGGCTGCGCAGCTATCCCAGAAGCCAGAACAGCAAGAGGGATTGCTGCTTTCACTGTGTAGTGATCCCTCTTGCTGTTCTGGCTTCTGAGATTCAGAATATTTTTTTTCTTGTTTTCCTCCTCCAAAAACTAGGTGCGTCTTGTGGTCTGCTGCGTCTTATAGAGCGAAAAATACGGTATGTATGTTCACTATGCATTTAGATGCCTCTTGAGATATTGTAGCCAAATTTGCATGAAGATTCATTTGCTTTCCCTGATACCTTCTCCTCTCTCCATCTTTTGCAGTCGTCCCTTCTGCTGAAATATAGAAAACTAAGTTTTCTTGGGCAGGGATCTGTGTTGTTGTTTTTTACATCACACAAAACATGTGGTGATTTGGGATCACAGGGGGCCAAAAGAACCACACCTTTTTGTATATGCAGTAGGTCTCTGTCTCCAGCATCCTAGAGCCCCGCACTCAGCATAAAAAGAAAGGTTTTTTTTAGCCACTAAGAAGCCTTCTCACCTTTAGTGCTGATTAGAAACAGTCAGAGTGAAAAGAGAAGAGTCAGCCACTGAGGACTGGCTGCTAGGGCCACTCTGAAAAAGCCACGTGAGGAAAACACCAAGGGGGAGTTGTTTAGTATACTCCAAATCTAAGCATTTAGGCACACTGAAAACACAAGGTACCTCCATTTCAAGAGACTGGTGTGCAAGTTCTGTTACATACAAAGGAACTTCAAGGAAAACACAAATTAAGATACTCCGAAAGAAGATCGGCACTGGCCATTGCAACGCATCCCTATTTGAGTGTTCACACCCAGAAACCTCCCCCCTAAATAAATTCACACTTGTCTCAAATTTTAGTTTTGGTTTTTGGCAGAATTTAGGTCACAACTTTATTGATTACAGAAAGTGACTGGTTGCATAGGCTCCGGTTTGACTAGCTCCCTGCACTGTTGCAGGTAGCACTGACCCAGGGCACCAGCATAGGTCAGCCAAGGGTGAACACCTGGATAAGCGGAAAGCCGGGAACAGGCTATCTCCGCCACCCAAATGTCCCCCTGGACTCAGGCACGGGCACAACCCCCTCTCAGGGGTTGACCAAACCATTGAGTCCCTGGATTCCTTTAATGGAATACCCTTCACATAGGGATGGCGAGAGCGTTCTCCCATCCCTATCACCTGAACAAGAGCCTATCCGCAACCTTACAAGTTGTGACGCGGCAGGCGAAACCCAAATGGCAACAGCCAATCAGCCAAGTGAGGAAAATTCCTGCCGTGCCCCTGTCCCAACGACAGATGACACACGACGACACAGCAAGGTCAAGCGCAAAGCCCTAAAAGTAGGGAGAGGTGGGCGGGTGTTCCAAATGCACACACCAAAAGAGGAAGCTCTGGGTCACATGCATGGGTATAAATCGGTCCCTCAAACCGTTTGGACTGTGTCCCATTGGCCAGATTGCACCCAGCTATGAGGGACCTACCAATCAGGTGTTGTGGCTGACCATTTGTACCCACCCACAACACAGGGTGTCGGTTTCCAGGTCTCACTGCAATACGTGTCCTCTTTAAGGGAGGATCCGATTTATCATTATTGCATCATTTAAGATTGCATAATCTTAGAATGCTGCATAATCTTAGGAGGGTGTGACTGAGAGTGGCCATGGCTGTGACTATTAAGAAGGGACTCTTTACTTCTGAATTTGCCACTACGCTACTGACGTCGTGCCATAAAATTCTGGTGCTCTGTCATTATAACATTCTACATAATTACTCGGAAGTATCGCTCAGTTCAGTGAGACCTACTCCCTGATAAGCGGGTACAGGACTGCAGTCTAAACCCTGTTAATTTATCAAGCTTCTTATATTCATGTTCCTGCTGTTTCACAGCAACACGATGGGCCTACTCCCAATGTGTACCCTGAGGTCACCTGCATTGCAAAACACCTGCTTATGGCCCTCAGTTAACAATCAGCTGCCTCCAAGGTCTGTTGTGGAAGTAAAAGTCAATAGAGCTTGTAAGCTTGTTTGCACAGGAGAAATGTTTTAGTCATGAGGAATAGTAAGCATTACAAACTTCGGTTCTTTCCCCCCCCCCCTTTGTTTATTTTTATGAGCTTTCAGAATGGCATGCTTCACTGGATAAAGCACATGTGTGCCTCCTTTCAGTTGTGGTTTTATTAATGCCTTATTCTCATGGCACACAAAAAAGCAAACATATGAGTTCAGTAGCCAACACACCCAGCTGGAGCAGCCAGTTAATGCACCATCAGAAAAGGGGATACGAATCTCCAAGAAAAGAGGGTGCTAATTTGCATATGGTAACTTAGAAGCAGTCCATACCTCGTCTTAATGTGGATTGTGAACCCCTTGTGCCTCTTTTAATTCCCTCTCATTTGTGCAGTGTTTTCCTCCAACTACTACTGTCCCACACTTTGTCCTCCCAAAATCCCTGTGATTTGAAAATCCAAAATAGCTATATTGATTGCACAGGGAATCTCTGGATTTAGGGAGGAGAAAGTCTGGTACAGCAGGAGTTAGAAGAGAATGCTGCATGAACAGGGGGGCAATTAAAGGAGGCACAAGGGGTTCCACAATCCACATCAAGTTGAGGTATGGACGGGCCCTTGTTTCTACAGTATTACTAAAACTCGGGAATAATTACTGTGCTGTCATTGAATTAGGAACACAATACATCTCACCATAGCGGGAAGAGGCTAAGGTGGCTTGTGTGCTTGCCCAGTCTGCCGACATATGCCTCATAATTTGGGGCATGGTGGGAGCTCACACGCATGAAGGGGGCCGTATCAACATTGGCACTGCTGCACTGTCGCCAGCTTCTTTTTTTCAGAATCCCACTAACTTGAGCTCCATGGACCAAATAGGCAAAACTAACTTCATTGCGATGAGTGGCAGTGCCCTTGTTGCCATGACAACACGAGTAATTGATGGTGGCTGCTGCTGGCAGAACCAATGGAAGCAGCTCAGCCCAATCAGATTGACCAGGATGCCCGCCAGGCACTCTACTGCCTTCTGATTGGTCAAATGAACATACTATCTCCTTGCTTCTCAGAGTCTTGAAAGAATATTAGTGAGGTACAGAGGTCCACAAGCATATAATTCTCAGGATTATTTATTTTTTTTTAAACCAATTTATACATTCAGAGCATGAGGCTTAACAGTTCAAACACACACAGAGAGAAAAAATGTTGATCCAAGTCAGTAGGCATACAATAGGACAGGGGCTTTTGCCAATTTTTTTATGCCGATTGGCATGTTTGAAATTTTTTTGAGAATGTGCCATGGACACCAGTCACAAAATGGCTGCCTTGGGGGCATGGCATAAAAAAATGGCTGCTGCGGGTGCGTGGCATAACACAAAATGGCTGCCACATCTAAAGGATGAGAAAAAGAGACAGGACCCCACAAAGTCATGTGGGTAGGCCCCTTCCCCAAATCAGCTGTCCAATCCTGACATTCAGTGAAATGTGTGCACGTTGAAGGGGGCATGTTCAATGTGGGAGAGGACATTGCTGAGGGATGTTTTAGGGCTATGGCTTCTCCTCACAGCCCTTTCCTTCCGCTGCTGGCTGTTCTTGGCGTGTTATTTTCACCTCATTGATTTTGGCCTTCACCTCCTTTCCTGTCCGCGGAGCTTCTATACTCAGAATGCCATCATGGGTCACGGTGGCTTTGACCAACAGAGGGTCAACATCAAGAGGGAGGATATAGGTCCTGGTGAACTCCCGGGATATGAAACCATGCCGATCTGCCTTCTGTGGGTGCTGAGCTGTCACCTCCAGGAGATTGTCCACTGTGCGGACAGCAATCTCATCTGGCGTGAACTGACAAACGTCAAGGAACACTTGGAATTTGTGGTCGTTGAGGTTGACCTCTGAGATCCCTCGGTCCAGCTGCTTATTAATCCGAGGTCTAATGTAGTAGCCATGGTACAATGTGGGGGACAGGATTTCCCCTGGGGAAACACCTAAAAGGAAGAATTGACAATTACAGATTATGCCACACTTGAGTACAATTAAAATAACAAGAATAATGGAGGCGGATTTAGGTTCAGTGCCAAAGCAAGTTCACTGCCAAAGTGCATTGTTTACTTATGTAGAAGTAAAAGGGTCAGTCTATTGACTGCCCCTGCGTACACATAGCTGTAGTGCCAACTCATCCATCAGAATCAGGCCCCAAATTTTCGTCAACCAAACTTTATGATAAAGGTTGCTCTCCAGAGTCCCCTGATAGCTTGCAATGGTGAGCTGTGTGGCCATCATGAGATGGAGAATAAGGTCTTTTTGAGAAAGGTCCATAGCATCCGGGTCAAAGAGTGGCAAAAGAGCAGGCTTGCCTCATATAAACCAGCCATATGTTCAATAGGCTGCCATGCTAAGGAAACTTGGCAAACTCAGCATTTTGGAGTTCCTGATATATTTCTTTTGGGGGGTTCATTTATTTCCCAGATTCTATGTATTCTCACTCTCCTTACATTGGAGCCTTCCTCTCCTGCTTTGCCTGCTCTTCCCCACCCAAAGGCATCACCTATCATTGCCCTAGGCTTGGTCCTGCCCAGCCATTTTGCCAGGCCCAGAAGCAAGAGAAGCACATGGCAGCCAACTGCAGTCTGGAACAGACAACAAAAGCCCTTTTATGCAACACAGTCATCCCACCGGCTTCTCTCTGGGGGCTTGCAGCTTTTCACTCTGTTCAGCGCTGAATGGTTTACTGCTGCCTTGTGCATTCTTTCTCCTCTAACAGCCACTGCAACTCCAGCTGGGCTTTGTGCACAACCCACCAGCTCAGCTTTTCACCAGTTTTAACGGAGTTTGCAAAAAAATAAAAATAATCTCTGGCTGGCATCGTTCCCCTCCATGCTGCTCTGTGCCAGCCACATTCCATAAAGTGTCCTGGATCCGTGTGGAGAAAGAGAAGGATCTCGTTCCCGGCTGCCAGCAGCTTTGAGAGGGCTCCCTTGCCAGCTGGAAGTCTTTTTAACTTCTTGCAAAACAGAAGTAAAGCCAACTGACCCATATGGTCTCATCTTCATGGGTTGTTCCTCCCTTACACCTGGGATGCTGTCTCTCTCTTTTGCATTGTGTGTGGTTACAGATAGCTTGGTTGTAACATATTGGCTTGTTTTTTCTTTTAAAACCCCCCAAAAAACCTTGCCTTACAGTACAGTGGTACCTTGGGTTACATACGCTTCAGGTTACAGACTCCGCTAACCCAGAAATAGTGCTTCAGGTTAAGAACTTTGCTTCAGGATGAGAACAGAAATTGTGCTCCGGCAGCGCGGCAGCAGCAGGAGGCCGCATTAGCTAAAGTGGTGCTTCAGGTTAAGAACAGTTTCAGGTTAAGTACGGACCTCCGGAACGAATTAAGTACTTAACCCGAGGTACCACTGTATAACAAACCCATGCATCCCTTTATGTTGGTCGATTCTGTTGCTGACTGTAGGGCACACATACTGATTTTAATGACCACAATATTAATGGATTAAAAAATATTAAGGATTCGGAGATGTGCTTCAAGATATGTTTCCCCATCCCAGGGGATATGGATATATAGTTTCATCATCCCAGGAGATACAGAGAGAGTGTGTGTCTATAGCTATGCCTCTATAATTCTATTTAGCACAGTGAATGCATGGCAATGCCTTTAGTTGCAATCTGACTGCATTATACATTAAGAATTGAATGAACTCACTTTTTAGAGGATTGATTTGCGTTTTCTATAATCTCAGACCGCAATCCACTGCCCCACTGAACCCAGAAAAGCTTATTTCTGGGTAAACAAGCACAGAATCAGATTATCAACACTTGGGGTAACACACTGAGACACAGTTCTGATTGTAGGAATAATCTAAAAAAAAACCAACAACAACTAAAAGGTTTCCAATAGAGAGGTTGTTTCCAGATGGGGTTTTTAATATTATAAATGGGTCACTGAGATATCACGAACAGGTTTTTCCTAAGAAAGGGAAAATTTGGATTAAACAGCAGGAAATATGGGGTGGCATTTTCATGCAACGATGCTATTTGGATGCTGCAAGAAATCTCACATGCATGAAGAACAGCAATCCTACAATACACACTCAATTGGATGCACCTTCAGTCTCATCAGACCCATGAAGAAGGTAGTCACTGTCACACACTGGTGCCCCACTGTGCCTTTGTTCAGGGAGGCAAAAGTGTGGTTAAAAAGGGGGCTTCAAACGCTCTTTCCATGCAAGCTCACGAGATCATTTCTACAATTGCAAAATGTGTGTGTTATTCTTTGATTCATAATCACTATTCCATAGGATTCCCTCAATGATTGAGTTAGAATCACCAGCTCAGCCTTGGATTGTCTGCAGTCTACTGTGTGCAAATCAAAGGGAAACGCTACCAGCCAGTCATTTTTCTTACCTTCTCCAAAGTTCTGGTCGTAAATCTTGCTGGGGTTGGCAAACTCGTACTCCGCGCTCATGGGGTAGGCGTGAGGGACAGTGCGCCCAGCCATGGTCTTTGCTGGGGGAATGGACCTCTTTGACTACCTGTTTCTGTGTCTCCTTGTGAAGGCTGCAGTCCGATTGCGACGTTTTCCTGGGGCAAATTCCATGGGGTGGGGGAGCAAGTGATAAAATATGGACCAAAATAGATAGGCAGGCCCTGGAACGCCAAGCCCCCAATGATGACCAAAGAGCTCCTTGCTGCATTCCACCCGAGAGGCATCTTTTCGCTGTGCAGCCCTCTGACAACGCAGTTGCAGCTGTTAGAAATGTCAGAAATTTGTGATTCTCCTAAGCAGGCTGTGTTGTGGGACAACTGGATGGGAAGCCACATAGATGAAATGAAGAGCTGGCTGTAGCCACAGGCAGTGTCCTCTCCTCCAGTCCCACTGTGTTCTCCATGACTCCCTCACGGAGTCCATCCACCAGCCTTCCCCAACCTGGTGCCCTCCAGCAGTTTTGGACTAAAGTCTCATCAGCCCTAGTCAACTCCCAGGATGACTAGACCAGAGGCATTCTGCGTGGCTGTTTCACAACTATGTACTATGGAGAGAGTACCTCAGTATCTTTTGCAGACCGCTTCAGGTAAAAGTGCTTACCAGCTCGCCAAGTCGAGCCACAATCCCCAAACGCAATGCCTAAAGACACTGAGAGATACTTCTGCATTAATGTAGCAGGAAGGCTGCATAAGATGCTCAGTTGTTGTAGATGGGATAGCCTGTAGCACGTTTCTCTGTTCTGGTATCCTTCAGATAAGAACACAAGAAAAGCATGGCTAACGGTTGGGTCCTATGGTCCCAAACATCTCGAGGGCACCAGGTTGAGGAAGGCTGCCCTGGAGCTGAATAGGGAAAAGGTTGGCAAGAAGGAATCAGTTGGAGCCTGGACCCACTATAGGTATGTTGTTTTGTTCTGAGCTCACACTGTATCATTTCGTTTGGCTCAAAAGAAGTGATTCATATGCTATGCAAAGGGGCTGTTCTGCCACAGTAGTAAAAAAAGAAAACCCACATGGTTTGGCAAATGGTCATCTGCATCCAGAGAGAGGCAGAGAGGGAGACAATGTGCACTGGGTAAAGTAATAGGAAAAAAGGACATCTAAAGTTACCCCCTATTTCCTTCCCTGTGGACTTCTGACTGTGCTTGGTAGTGAAAGAAAGGTTCCTCTCTCTACCAGGACCAGTTGCTGCCTGATGCAAAAACAACACAACACAAAACAAAACAAAACAAAACAAAACAGGTGCTCTCCCCACCAGGCCACCTACTTATTTATATAGTCAATGCATTCACACTTCACTTTTCCTCCAAGGAACCAGGGCCAGATTCAGGTTTGATGAGGCCCTACGCTACTGAAGGTAATGGGGCCCTTTACATGTCTGGCTGTCCTTTGTCAACAACAAATTGTCGCTGTTTTTTGTGTTGAATATATGCTATATGGTAATTGATGGACCTAATAGGTATCTAAAGCCGTTTGCATATGTTGCCATGCAACCAGTCCATGCAGAATGTAGGCCCCCTATATATAGAAATGAGCAAACCAGTGATATTTCAGGGAGCAGGCTAGCAGGCGGGGCCCATTACTTACATCATAGGAGCCTACAAACACAAAACACTGATGCTGTATGTAGGTTTTATTTTATTTGTTTTTCATCTTATATTTTGGAAATGTACACCCAGTGTTTCTTTCCTTTAAATTTTTTGGGGGCCCCCCCAAGAGAGTGGGGCCCTAAGCTATAGCATGTTTAAGGTAAAGGTAAAGGGACCCCTGACCATTAGGTCCAGTCGTGACCGACTCTGGGGTTGCAGCGCTCATCTCACTTTATTGGCTGAGGGAGCCAGCGTACAGCTTCCGGGTCATAAATCCAGCACTGCAAGGAATGCAAGGGGCCGTCCAAGGTTCCACCCACCTTCCCATTTTATCCTCACAGCAACCCTGTGGGGTAGCTCAGGCCGAGAGATGATGACTAGCCCAAGGTTGCCCATCCAGTGAGCTTTATGGCTGAGTGGGGATTTGAACCCTAGTCCAGCACCCTAACCACTAACCCTAACCACTAACCCTAACCCCTGCATTGCACTGATAAACCAACTGGACTGAGAGCTGAATCTTACTTTGTTACTGGCGACGGGCTAGAGTTCTGAACTGTCTGTACATGAAGGAAGCAGGCTAGTTGTGAGGCTTGGAAGGGGCAGGACAAGATGTGTCCCTCAACAGAAGCGTACAGCCAGAGGCCTCGAGAGGAACATCTGGAGAGGCTGCCCCTTTCTGCCCCCACCCCAGAATTTGCCCCCTGAGGCAGCTGCTTCAATCTGCCTCAACCTGTCTGAATGGGTCCACAAAGATTCCCAATGCGTGCAGATCCCTGTCACACTTAGCTTTGTCAAACATACAGTATGACCTTGGGCCAGTCTCTCAAATGCTAATCTACCTCCCTGGGGTACCGTGAATAACAAACTGTGCCGTCCCTTGTAAAATGTCCTGCCAAGGAGGAAAGACAAGACACAAAGGTGTTAAGGACTTTTCCCACAACCGAATGCCCTCCATTAGGCCCAGCCATTCAGTTCTTACCCTCAGGAAAGCAGGCAGAGGACTGCAATCTTTCCTCAGTAGAAATGATTCACAGAGTGCAAGAAGCATCACCATCGCAGTCATCATCCCTTATTCATTTGCGATGTGATGTGAAACCAGAGACTTATTGAAGACCCTTTGGGGCAGCAGGTGCACAGACATCTTGTCTCCCTTGTTATTTACATGAGGCGAAACTGGAGAAGGAAGCCATCTCAGAGACCATAGCTGGCTACAGCCAGGCAAAATGTTGCCCCCCCCGCCAAACCCCCCCCCCCCCACCTTACAGCTCCATCCTACTTCAGTAGCATCTGGTCCTGGCTGTCACAGGATGGCTCAAGGGAGAACCCGTGCCCTTTTAAATGGAAAGTATAAAAGCATACCAGCCTCTCTCATCAATTTCTCTCTCCTTTGAAATTCGCTTTCCTGCAAATTTCGTGCAGCTCTCCAACGGAAAATTATTCCTAGAAATGCAAATATTAGTGCAAATATGACACACAAGTGCATTGTATTAGGTGAAATTGCTTGCCAAAATGGATTAAGGGAAATGCACACTAAAATGCTGGTGAATTTTTGCAAGGACTTCAAAAAACCCTGCAAACTAATGTGGAAATTTAGTGAACTGGACTGAAGTTTGGGAAATAGAGAGATGCAGAAATTGACTGAATCATCCATCCCTAGTGTGTATATATATAATTTTTATTAAATTTTCTGTTTCACAATTTAGAATATTCATTTAAACAACTTTAAAATATCAATGACTTCCCTTCTTCTCTTTCCATGGTTCATTTTACAGAGCATAAATCCCTGCATATTTTATATAAACTAAACCATTCAGTATTCCATTATTACTTCCATCAAAACTTATTTACACTGTTGAATTTATCTTAATGCTGCCAATGTTTTCAAGTATACACAATTTCCCCCCATATATTCAATAAACATTTTCCAATCTTCCTTAAACGAATGTTCTTCTCTTATTCTATAAGTTAGATCCACAAGCTGCGCATATTCCATCAGCTTAAGTTGCCATTCTTCTTTGGCTGGGACCTTGTTCGTTTTCCATTTTTGGGCTAACAAAACATAAGCTGCCGTCGTGGCAAAGACAATTCCCAATAGCTGCCAGCCAGATGCCTCTGAGAAGCTCTCATGGAGGGCATGGGAATGATTGCCAGCATATGGCAACACATGTCCAGTCCTTCCGCAAATTAAGCAACCATAGCTCAACTTGGCCAGCTCTATTGGAGGGGTGCTTCTTGTTGCCTGCAAGTTCCCCAAGAGGCCCCAGCTCAGGTGCAATCACAACTACAGATCTGACAAAAGGCAACTCCCAGCTATGGGTACCACCAACGCACAGCATGGGTTACACCCTTGGAGGGATGGGGGCGAAGAAAGAGGAACAGAGAGAGTGGAAACAGGTCAGGCAGCATTCATGTCATGCTCAGCTGGAGGTGGTGTAATGGCTGGCTGCAGCCTTGCATCTCCTTTCAGGAGCCTGAGCAATCAGACTTAACACTCCCAGTTTTAAATTTAACCCAGTAGGCTACATTAGTCAGCTCTTATTCTTAGCAGCTGAATCGGAGGGAAAGGGGATGGGAAGTGTTTGGCTTGAAGGGAAAGATATGAGGAAGTAAACAAACACTCAGAAGTTCAGATCCAAACATGGCAAGGAGGCCAAACAGATAACAAGGTACCTTCTTTCAATATAACCTCTTGAGCACGTGAACAGAAACGGAATTCAAGCAAGCAAAGGCTTCCAGATCAATAAGGTTAAATGATGAAAGAAAGAAAGAAAGAAAGAAAGAAAGAAAGAAAGAAAGAAAGAAAGAAAGAAAGAAAGATTTTTTCTGTGTCACTCCAAAGGACAGGACTAAAACAGATCACTGGAAAGTAAATAGAGAGCAGATTTCGGCTAAGTATTAAAGAAACTCCCCAATGGTTCAACTCTGGGATCTCTCTCAGTGAAAGTATTTAATTCATCTGTCATGGATCTTGCCGTTGCTGATGCTGCACTGAGCACTGGGTTAAGCTAGATTGGTTGGCCACTGTGAGAACAGGATGCTGGACTAGGTGAACCTTTGGCCTGATCCAGCAGGCTATTATTATGTTCTGGATGACCTCTAAAGCACCTTCCAGCACTATGGTTATATGAAAGAGGAAAAAACCTTGCCAGGTCTCTCTGTATGATGTTTCTAACAGCAGCCACCTGAAGATCTCTGGAAGATGACAAGCAGGGCATTAAGGCAGTAGGTATGTCGTGTTTGCCTCCACCATCTGGTAACATGGATGCTCTGTGTTCAGATATCCTGGCTATTAGCAGTGGGCATCTCTTCCACGGATCTATCTCACCCTTAAAAATAACAGAAGCCACACAATGTGGTTGCTGACACCACCACATCTTGTGGCAGTGAGTTTTCTAAGCACTGGTCGCACTGAGTGGAATGGTACTTCCTTTTTGCCTGTGCAGATTCTGCCACAAATCGACTTTCTTGGGCAACTCTTTGAGCATCAGTTTTACATCATGGGGACCAAGACGTCTCATTCAGTAACCTTTCTGTTTCAACACAGCCAGAGTGGAGAGGAAGGACACAGCCAGGCTGCAATGGAAATCGGAAGATTCCAAGCGACAGAGATACAACAGTGCCTTGTTTCTCTCTGTGTGAGACAAAGATAGTAACTGTGTGAGTGGCGCTGGCATCTGAAGTAGGGGAGAATGCCAGATTGGCCTGACCAGGCTTTTTTTAAAATATAAAAAATATATAATAAGAAGGGAGGGGGCGCGAGGAGATTTCATGCTGACCTGCTAGAATTTAGCTGTGTTCTTTTTCCTTGGCAATGTGGGTGCTGAGTGGGGTGTACAAATCTCCAGCTAATCTGCCAGCCAGCGCTGAATGGTGCAGATGGGAGAACAGGGATAATGAAATGCCTGACATCACCGTTCCAGAGAATTCAGCCTGGGCACAGCCTGGCACCAGGGAGCATATAAAGCCCTGGCTCTTGGCTTGCTGGAGTGCACTGCTGCCCACTGTCTCCTCCGGGACCAACTCAGATGGATATCACCGTTCACCACCCCTTCTTCCGCAGACCCCTGCTATCAAGCTTGTTGCCCAACCGCATCTTCAACCAGACTTTTGGGGAGCACCTTGTGGAATCTGAACTGTTCCCCAGTTCCTCAGCTTTCAGTTCTTTCTTTTTGAGACCCTCCATCCTAAGGAACCCCAGCTGGCTTGAGAGCCGACTCTCAGAGGTAAAAATATTTTCTCTTGCTAAACTTCCCCCAGCTCCCATGCAGTCCTTGAACCAGGTGGAGGGACACCTGTCCCCTTTGCAGTTCGTGCCCTTCATCAGTTAATTTATTTAACGGCATATTTACTATGAGCTTAAAATACAAATCAAGAGACATTAGCATTAAAACAGGGGACGTAAAAATCCTTGACAAAGGGAACATAAAGACTCGCCAAGAATGAAGGCGAAGAAAATCAATATCTGCCCCTTAACGCACCCCGCCACGAAAACCTGTTGTTTTCTCCAGTGACGCTAAGAATACCTTTGAAACTGGAATGAGTCATCTGTGAAGATTATTCACACAGGAAAGCCCACAGAAAACAGCCAGATTTAGATCTAAAAGTAGACTTCATTTGAATGATAAACTCTGGAAACAGAAACTTCAGGGTTAAGGACTGCTTGCAGGGGGGAGGCGGAAAGACAAAAGGGAGTTCTTCTGCGTAGGCCATAATCAAAGCTGTGTATCCATTTCCATGGGACGCACACAAGAGAAGTTCCTGATGGATTTGTGCAATACAGAGTCAAAAAAGGGAGCGAAGTTCTGTAGCCTGGGAGGCTGCTGCGGAGAATGCACTCACACTGTGAACATGGTAGTCAACAAGGGCAAGACGTCTGTGAAGGACTAGGAATTGTAATGGGGAATGTTAAAAGAAGCTTCCTAAGGGGCAAGAAGTGATCAAAAGTGGAACAAACAGCCTCGGGAGGTGGTGGGCATCCTCCACTTAAGCAGAAGCTGGACGTCCACCTGTCAAGAGATCCTGTAGCTACAGCTTGATCTTGCACTGAGCACTGGGTTGAACCAGATGACCTCCAAGGTCCTTCCCAACTCTGTGTGACTTTGAGGTTTAGGCCCTGTTGGATTAGCCATCCTGTATTTTATGGCCGACAGTTAGCATTGTTATTGTCTTACTGCAGTTGTTAATCATTCCACGCATGGAATTTCTTTCATTATTATTTTTTCATTAGGATGTAACTGTACCATGCAATATGCATTTTCACATTACTATTACACCCTAAATTTGCTAGATGCTGTACAAAAATTAAAAACCAGCAACACAGGCTCTTACAACCTAAAGGACAAGACACAATGGGGAAGTAGGTGAGGGAGAATAAAAGCCAAGAAGGGTAAATTGTGGTAAGTTGAACAGATCTGTTTTCAAAGAACCTGGATCTGAAAACAGGAAGAGAATTGGCTGCCAGGTGGGGGGGACTTTCCAGTGGTAGCGAGTTGCAAGGGAAAAGGAGACGCCGTGGGGAACAGTTCTGGTAGCTACACTGGTGGATCCCTTCTGCCTGTTTTGTATTGTAGAGTTTCCATGCCAGCACAGCTCATTTCTAGCATTATGGCTTTGAGAATCCATCACATCAAAGCCATAATTTTCTCTGTATTAAGAACACAAGAACCTGGTTGGATAGGACCATCTATGCCCGGCAACCTGTTTCTCACAGCGGCCAATCAGATGCCTCTGCAAGGCCCACAAGCAGGGCCTGAAGGCGATAAGAATCCCTCATTGATGCTACCTAAGCAACTGGCATTCAGTGATACACTGAAGAGGTTCTATATAGCCCACATGACTAGTATTTTTATTATATTTATATCCCACCTTTGCTCTGAAAAGCTCAAGCTGCCTCCCTCCGGTCCTCAAAACAACCCTGCGCAGTAGGTTAGGCTGAGACGCAGTGATCGGCCCAGTGAGGATTTGAACACTAGTTGACATGAACTCTCCTCCTCCATAGTCTTGTCTAATCCCTTGTAAAGCAAGCAAATATTCTGGCCATCACTCCATCCCATGGGGGTGAATTTCATAAGTTAATTATGCAATGTGTGGGAAAATCCTTTCTTTTGTCTGTCCTGAGTCTACTGCCAATCAGTGTTATAAAGGGGAACAAACCCTCATTTTTATGTATGTATTTATCGTGTTTTTAATATTCTATTGGGAGCCACCCAGAGAGGCTGGGGAAGCCCAGCCAGATGGGCAGGGTATAAATAAATTATTATTATTATTATTATTATTATTATTATTAACATGCATGACCTCTATCTCACTGCCCCACTCCCAGTCAGCTGTGGAGATGGGCAGCAGCCCCACCTACCCCATGAAATTAGACTTTGAACAAAAAAACCTCATTCACATCAATGGGAACTTTTTTTCCTAAGCACAATTGCCATGTGAGGAAGGCTTATAGAAAAGATTTCACTCAACAGCCAACTCTCTTCCTGTTTCTATGTGGTGGGTGTGTTTGAAGGGTAGAGACAGAAAGAGGGAAGAATGGGAACGTGTCTCACTGCCAGTACTGGTTCCAAGAGATTTCCTTTGGAGGACTGCAGCCCTCAACATGAAGAAATGTTGCCTGACCTTAACCCACATGCTACCATGAAAGTAGCATACAGAACAGTCTTGCACTTTGGGGATGTGGAATAGCAAATGATCTACCACACTGATCATGTCTAATTATCTGCTCCACATACAGCGCCTAACAATTAGTAAATATTAAATATTATAACTGCCCTAACTAGACTCTTTTGTTAGCAGATGCGACTGGATAAGGACAAGTTCTCTGTAAACCTCGATGTGAAGCATTTCTCACCTGAGGAGCTAAAAGTCAAGGTTTTGGGAGACGTGATTGAAGTTCACGGAAAACATGAGGAGCGCCAGGTTGGTCTGGTCTTGGCATGAGCGCAGCTGGCAGGGCGATGGGAGGCAGGGTGGAAGGAAGGAGAAATTGACCCAAGGAAGGAGACGTTAACAATGCCATGTTACCTGCCACATAGAAGAGTCTCAGAGAGACAGCCTTGGGCAAAGGAAATAGAAATGGTCCCTCATTCATTTATTCATTTGGTTTTAAATCTGAGAAAGCCAAAGCTGGACCACAGCAAAGGACCATTGGCCCAGCTCACTTAGTACTGGCCACTCTGATTGGTAGCAGCTTTCCCAGGTCTCTGGCAGTGGTCTTTACAAGCCCTGATACCCCTAAACTGGGGTACCCCAGGGGACTGAACTTTCTGAATGGGAAGAGTGCTTCTTAACAATGAACTATGAGCTCCCCTTATAGTAAACCATTTGCAACCAGACATATATGGTTATGTTCTTCTCCCCCTCGCCCCCTTCTCTTTTGAAAAGGATGAACACGGCTTCATTGCCAGGGAGTTCAACAGGAAGTACAGGATCCCAGCTGATGTGGATCCCCTCTCCATCACCTCCTCCCTCTCTTCGGATGGTGTCCTGACAGTGAATGGACCAAGAAAAGCCATGGAAGTCCCAGAGCGCACCATCCCCATTGCCAGGGAGGAGAAATCTGCCGTACCAGCAGCGCAAAGGAAGTAGACATGCCCTTTGAGACCTACTCTTTTATACCCAAGAAAGCCTTTCCATTGGATGCAAACAGCAGGCGGTGTCACTGGCTGGCTGTTCTTATTTATTTGTGCTAAGCAAATGAGCTTGTTCACTAACAAATAAACCGATGAGTAAGCATCTGGCGGCTTCTTTCCTCAATCTTCGGGGCAGGGTCAATTTGAGACAGGGCTCAGCCCTACAGCATGCAACCTTTTGGTAAAAAAAGAGAGGGAGAATAGCTCTGAGCACATGCAGAGTTCCCTTCTGCTCTGGTTGAGCAACCACAAACAGTGTTGGGGGGAAATAATTTTACTGGCTCTTCTAGCTTTGGCTACACAGAAAAACAAATGTAACAGCCAACAAACAAAAATTAGGTGGTGCTTCACAAAACATCAGAGGGAAAGTACAGTAAAAACTGTACACACACCCACACCCCCCCCAAGCCACAAGAAGAAGAATCTCCTTCTCACTCTTTTATTCACAGACATGGTTTGTGAGTTGCTGCATGGCAGCCTAGCTTTTAAGTGGGTGGGTGGGGGAAAGAGGGGGCAACTGGGTCACAGAGGCAGGGCCTTTCAAGCAACCCAGGCTGTCCTGAAGCAGAAGAAGCCCTACTCTAGTCCTACTGCTTCAGCGGAGTCCCTTGCTGTTCTTTGGGCTTCGTGTCAACCAAGCAGCAGGCTCCCTTCTTCTGTGGAGGCTCATAATCTATCATGTAGCATGACCGGGCAGTTGGCTTGATTGGAGGAGGCTCCAGCTCTGGCTGGTGTCCAGGGAACCAGTGAACATCTCGCATAACTCCTAACAGCAGAGAGAGGACAAGGCTGAGGAGCTCAAAAGAAGGCAGGGCAGTTGCAAGCCAGTAAAGCGGAATGAACACATTGCACTGAACAAACTCGACAGCAGCCAAAGGCAGTCTTAGCTTCTGCCAATCTAAAAGGGAGCTGAATACCTGAGAAAGCACATTAGGAAAGTGATACGGGACATGCTGCTTTATCACAAGTGCAGTACGGAAGATTCTGCACCCGAATCCACCCATTTCTATGGGTGCAGTTTCCAATTTGCATACCAGCAAAGTTCAGTATATGCAATCAGGTATATATCCCAAATTTACATTCTTGCACTATCAGGGTGGTCTTGGTTGCTTTCTAAATCATGGACTAACTATACCTTTTTATGTTGCTGTTACTTTCCCTGGGGACATTATGGTGAAAGAATGGGTAAGAAATCATATGAATAATAATGATGATGATGGCTGCCACTTTCTAATTCCCACGGATAGCTGACAACTTCAGGGGAGATGGGGGTGGCACCATTCAATTGTGCATCCAGACTGCTAGTACTTCAGGACATATTGCAATGGATTTCTTTGTGTTCCTACAGGTCCCTTGCTGTCACCACCAGAGTCCACTGACACTTGACTCATGGCATTCATTTACTTATTGTTGTTCTAAGCTGCACTTTGGCCCCTCAAGACACATTATACATTATCACTTCTGTATTCCTCTTATTTGGAAAGCTCTGTTAGGAATATTTGAGAATAGAGGATTCAGAACTGGGGGAAGAACTAGATCTTCCCAAAGTTCTCTTGCAGCTTTTAAATTAAGTGCCTGCATTTCAGTTTTATGTACCTACTTCTTGTGCTGTGGGGCATATTCTTCGAGTAGTCCGATGTGTAGGTGGACTCAAAATAGTGAGCAAACTGAAAAGGAAAACCCAGATTGAGTGCATGTTTACGGTAACTGAGAAACCATAAGAACATTAAGAAGAGACTGGCTGCTGAATCAGACCAAATGCCCATCAAGTCCAGAATCCCAATTCCCATAGTGGCTAACCAGGTATTTCTGGGAAGTCCACAAACAGGGCTTGAAGGTAACAGCACTCTCTTGCTCACGTTCTGGTACTCAGGCAGAGCATATTGCCTCTGATCCTGGAGGTAGAATATATCTAGTATGACTAGCAGCCTTCACCTCCATGAATTTGTCTAATCCTCTTTTAAATTCCTCTGAGGGCTTATCCACAGTTACCTTTCCTCCACACTTTTCAGGCATGGTCCATGCTTTAAACCTCTGTGTTCAAGCACCTATTATTATTATTATTATTATTATTATTTGCTTTGCAGCAATCTGCAGGAAACCCGATTTGCCATTTATTGTGCTTCAGCTTTTAAGAGCAGGTTTTTGCAAGTTAAAAAAAATAAAAATTTCTTGGACATGGATCCGTGCCTGGAAAGACCAGGCAAAAGCTAAGTGTAGATAAGGCCTAAGTTGGTGGCAATCCCAACATATTGTGGGAGTGAATTCCATAGTTTAACTGTGAAGAAGAATTTCCTTCTGTCTGCCACGAGTCTTGTAACATTCAGATTAATTGGATGACCACACTGGGTTCCAGTATTATGGGAAATAAATGCCTCTTTACCCATTTTATTCATACCACATGCAAATTCATATACTTGTATTGTGCATAATTTTGTACACCTCTATCATGCCCCCCTTTAGTTGCCTTTTTTTTTCTAGACAAAAAATCATGTAGAACTTTTAAGAGGATGAGCCTTATCACCAAAGCAATACCAGCTTGGCTTGGCTTGGCTTAGTGAGGCAGAAGGGCTGGGTATAATTAGGTATTATGTGGTGGTGGAGGGTTTGGTGGGATGAAATGGCTAATACTGCAATCCTATGCAAGTTTACTCATAAAATGTGTTCAGTGGGACTCTTTCCCAGGGAAGTGTACATAGGATTGCAGCCAAAGAAAATAAACTGGAACTGAACAGACGGAAAGCAAGGAAGGACAACATCATAAACAGGAATGCTGCCTACTATTACATATGTGCTTCTTCCTTGGAGCTTGGAGCAACAGACATGAACTCCTAGGTGATGCCTGATTTAGGTCAGCCAAGCTCCCCTTCAAATATAAAATACAACAGAACATTTATATCCCACCTTTCCACCAAGGGGCCTACATGGTGCCCCCGCCTTTTAAATCCTCATCACAACATTGTGACATAGATTAGCCTGAAAGAGAATGATGGACTCCAGAGACCAGTAACCACCGTGGCCGAACAGGAAAGTAAAGCAGTTCAAGTATCTTATCTTCACACTTGCTCTTCTAAAGCTGGGCTGGAATCGTTCAACAGGTTATAAGATAAATTAAACACAGAGTACTAGAGCAGGGGTCAGCAACCTGAGGCCCATGGGCCAGAAGTGGCCCATGGAGGTCGTTTGACTGGCCCACGAGCCACCCGCGAACCGAGTTGCCTGCTCGCGCGTTGCACTAAACTGCCACAGCGCAGCGCCTTGCTTCCACGGCGCCAAAAATCACGTCTGCGCAGATGCCAAAAATCATGGGGGCGCAAGCTCACGCGGGTGCACAATCCAGCCCAGGCAAGATAAACCTTGCTGACCCCTGTACTAGAGCATGGGTGGAGGACCTTTGGCCACCAGATGCTGCTGAATTACATCTCCCCTAATCCCTAACTGGATGCTGGTGCTGATGGGAATGGAAGTCCAAGAACATCCAGAGGGCCGCAGGTTAGTCGCCCCTGTGCCAGAGGGTTGAATATTTCACTTTACGTTAAAAAGCTAACAAACAGGGCGAAGTGAATATGGTACTCTGACCTGGGAAGGGAGAGGCTTGGGCTGCAGTATTTTCCGAATGTCATAGCGCTCTTCGTTCCAGTTCCCCAAGAGGGTTTTGTTGGTGTAGGAGTCTTCGTTGGTGGTGCACCTCCAGCCATACTGGAAGAACTTGGCAGAGCTGTTCCAATCTGTCCACACTTCTCCATGACCATTGGCGCGTAATAAACAGCCATGATGGGGGTTAAAGAAGCAAGACAGGGACATGGCCTAGGAAGAGACAGAAACGTCAAATGAGGACAGGAAACAACTTGTATTAGGGAAGGCATAACTACACTACAAACCTATCAAGTGCCATGTCTTCTCTCAGCAAATTCTGGGAACTGTATTTGAAGATGTCCTGAGCTGTCTTCTCAGAAAACTCCTAATACCCCCTAAGGAAGTAACTATTAAAGAAGGTTAAGGCTATAATCCTAATCACACAAACTGTATGCCCCAATATAGTGGTTTACATCAGAGCAAACATGTTCAAGATGACCTTTTAACACTGCAAACCCATACACACTGACTTACTAGATAAAGTTCAGTTGAAATCAGTACAATTTACTTTTGAATAAACCTGCACAGGCACATACTCCTTGTCTGTTGTGTAGGTATGTCTCAGGAAAAAAAGACAGTATTAATCACTGTTCCTAAAATTATGTTTCTCCTTTAATACTACTTTTTAATATTTATTTTATGCCACTAATATGGTACATGCTCCTCTACTACACCTCTTGCAATCTAATTATAAACTTGTGTACTCCTGAAAACCCACCTTTAGTGGGACTTACTTCCTCATCACACTTGGGATTTAACTATTTCTACATTTTAGAACACAACTTTACATTCTTTTAAAATTTGTTTTTCAGCCCTATGCTTCTCCAGTTCTTTTCCCACACCAAAATCAGTCTGATTCCCTGACACTGGACAGTGATATTAACTGCTGAAAGATCTTATTTTAACCAAAACATATGGGTATGGTTTCATCATGTGGATAGGTTAGAAGGATGGATTGTGCTGAAATTTGGAACTGGAGTTCAGTAGGGGAATACCTCTGAATCAGAAGAGGTTGTAGCTGATAGAACTGAAGAACTGAGCTGATCCACATTTTCCCACATTTTCTTGCTTATTTGTCTTGGTTTTAATTGTAATTTTGCCTCAGGATCTCAGCCAAAATGGGCAGCCTCAGTAGAGTGAAGTTCAAGGCTACAGCTGATGTTAAAAAGTGCTGAAGTTTTTTTGGCAGCCCTTACAAAGGAAGGTGGCAGGAGGAACTGGAGCAGGCAACCAGAAAAACTGATTGCTTTTGTTTGTGATGCAACTTCCTGATCATCAGCTAGTCCTGATGTCACTGGTTTCTGAGCATCCATGGGGTGAGAGACTTTTATCCAAAAATCAGTATGACCGGACCTTGTCACCAAGGAGGTCAAGCACTAAGATACAGCTGTATTCCTATACAGCCTCACTAGTGAGTAAGGCCCATTGAAATAAGCAGCATTTAGATCGGCGTAAACACACTCAAAAGGTTGCACTGCATAATAATATGCAGGCAGAAATACTACCAAATGTTTGAAGCAGCCACATCAATTGCATATTGATGAGATTTGAGACCTAGAATTATTTAAAAAATGATTTGTACAACTCACCGCTCGAGTTCCCTAGAACCATCTTTTTAATTAAGGGTAGTATTCAGTGGCCCCACTGAAATTAACATACATGTCTAAGTTACATCCCTTAATTTCAATGGAACTGCTCTGAATAAAACTTAGTTGAATACCACCCCAATGCTACAAGCCTTGTATCTTAATATCTTAAAATTAAATAAGCACAATATTGCCTGATATATTTAATTTCCCAGAAACATTATTAGCACAAAGGTGTGCATATGACATACTGGAACACAATCCTGCCATACACTCATGGTATGTACCTGAAAGCTCTCCCCTCCCTTCTGATAACGCTGGTTCTGATGGCTCAGAAACAAAATGGAAGGCAATCTGTGCATGCTTAAAGGCAGGTTTCACTCCCTTATTGCTCTTTTGAAAAAGCTTTTAGGGATGAGCAAGTTACCTGATTTGAAAACAGCCTACAGCGGGTAGCGCTGTGGTCTAAACCACTGAGCCTCTTGGGCTTGCCAATCAGAAGGTCAACGGTTCGAATCCCCACAATGGGGTGAGCTCCCGTTGCTCTGTCCCAGCTCCTGCCAACCTAGCAGTTCAAAAGCACGCCAGTACAAGTAGATAAATAGGTACCGCTGTGGTGGGAAGGTAAACGGCGTTTCCGTGAGCTCTGGTTTCTGTCATGGTGTTCCGTTGTGCCAGAAGCAGTTTAGTTATGCTGGCCACATGACCCAGAAAGCTGTCTGCGCACAAACGCCGGCTTCCTTGGCCTGAAGCAAGATGAACGCCACAACCCCATAGTTGCCTTTGACTAGACTTAACCGTCCAGGGATCATATACTTTTTTTTTTTTACAAGCCTATCCACACTTGTAAGCACCATGGCGGCTATTAGGACACACTTCTAATAAATGTGCATTGAAAAGTACTGCACCCCCCTATGAGCAATGCATCATTGAGCCCAACCAAAAAATCACCTTGCTGGATCAGATGGAAGAATCTGTCTAGTGGAAGAACTTTGGCCAGTCACTCTCAGACTAATCTTCCTAACATAGTTGCTGTGATGATAAAGCAGGATTAGAGGGGGTGGAATAGAGAACCATTTGTGCCACCCTGCACTTCTTGCCAGAAGGACATCTGAATATTACAATAAATACACAAAAAGCAAAGCTTTCTGTTTCCAGCACCAGCCAGTCATATACCTCTGGAAGGTTTGCAATCTGGGAATAAAAGGGACTGACCAGCTCATGTAGCACCTGCTTTCTTGGGTTCTCCATGCTAATTAGGAGAGGCGTCACCTCACCCATCGTTCCTCCAACACCTGACTCAATCTTCCTGCCATACACCAACAGATGTGCATATGTGTGCATATGTATATAATAGAATCGCAGAGCTGGGAGGGAACCCCAAGGGTCATTTGTTCAACCCCCTCCAATGAAAGAATCTAAACTATTGCATCCATGACAGATGGCCATCCAACTTGCACTTTAAAATCTCCAAGGAAGGAGAGTCCACAACGTCCAGAGGGAGACCTATGTCCACATGTGTAATATGGACATGTGTTTTGGATATATTAAAAAGTTCCCTTATTTTGTTATTTAATTTTGCTGGTTCCGAGACTTTCGTGCTCTCCTGTTAGCTGTGATGTCCTCAATAATATTGTCCAAAAAATGATGATGATGGCATAAATCATTGAATGTTATTTTTAATATTGCAATTGTTGTATAAGGGATTATCATGATCGGAATGTAATTGAAATTAATAAGATTTTGGAATGCAGAAATAAAGAAAATCACCAAACCATGCATTCTAGCACGTGGGGGGCCACCTAAATTATATAATTTGGTATCTTAACGACTGGTATTAGTAATTGCATTATAAATTGGTATTGTTATAATGTGGCTGTTATTGGAATGTAACTGAAAATTAATAAAAATTATTTTGTAAATTGTCAAAAAAAAAAAAAAAACCGAAGGAAGGAAGGTTAAGAACAGGAAAAGATGGTAGGCTGCATCTGAATATGGTGGCTCCATTTTAGCAGCCATCCCAAAAGACTCCTTTTCTCCTCAGCTCCCTTCGCCAGGTGGCCCCTTACCTTCCGCCCCCCCTGCCCCGTTCCATCCTCCCCTCGGTCTCAGAGGAACCCGGCCCTTTCCCTATGCCCACCTGATAAGAAGGCAGAGTAAGGGGAAGGAAAAGCAGGAAGCCGTTTCCAAGGCAACCGCCCAAACGGCGCGCGCCGGAAGCGAAGGACGCACGCTGGCGGAAGTGACGTAAACATACCGAGACGCCGGCTTCGGGAGGGTGGAAAGGTGTGTTTGCGGGGAGACCTAAGTGGGTTAAAAGACCCGATGAATAAGGGAAAAGGCGGGGGGGGGGGGGCAACAGTCCTTTGCCTCTTTATGCCCTCTGCGGGAGGGTGGGTCCTAAAGAGAGGGGCGTGGCCAATCCCATGTCACGCCCCCTAGGAATCCCCTATTTCTTTGTTTACATACAGTCACATAGCTGTCAACTTTCAGATTTGAAAATAAGGGATCAGCAGCCTTACCTGTCCCAGGGAGCCTCGAAAATAAGGGGTCAGCAGCCTCACCTGTCCCGGGGACAGTCTACGGGATATCTAACAATCCGGGATAGCAGCGGGAAACAGCGGGATTTCCCACAAAAAAAGGGAATGTTGACAGCTATGTACAGTCAGTGCTTTTTTTCTGGGGGTACACATACACCTAAACATTTTGTGAATCTTTGCACTTTTGTCGTTTACTGTTTTTCCCGATATGAACTATAAAATGGTGATTTTCTTGAGTCAAAATGAGAATAACCCTAAACATTTTTTTAAGGAAAAAAAAGCACTGCATACAGTATATCCTGCCAGTTCGTGAAGGAGAATTAAACATAATTCTCTCCCAGCTCAACCTCCTCCAGCTTGTTCTCTCACAACATGCTTTAAGGGACTGGTCAGGAATGAAGGGGCATCATAGTCCCAGCAGCGGCTGAAGGGCAGCAGAGTGGAGTGGACTAGCTGAAGAAAGGTCACCTCATGGCTTCGGGGTATTGACCCTGGATCTCTCCCCTAATCTCAGTGTGAGGTACTGAGTTACTACAGTCTCATACCGACTCACCACTGCTTCAAGGAGGGGGGAATCTACTCACCTGTATATCCAACCTTTAGAGAGCCAAGAGGACTCGCTTTTCTAAATTTACTAATTTTTTAATGCTCAATCTTTACTGTACTCTTCATTATTGGTATTTTTTAAAAAACAAAAATTGTACAGAATATCTGCAGTGTTGGGAGTATAAGGAATGAAGGTGTGGTAAACCACGGCATCGAATTAACATGATTAATGAAACAATCTAAACCGCTTGCTGCTAGTTTGATTCACATCTTGGCTTTGTCTCCAGCTTCCTGTCACCATACACCTTTTTTCAGCATGTATTTGTGTATGTTAAAGTAAGATTAGAATACTTGCTTGCTTATGAACTTGAATTTTTGACCTGCACAAAGGATTTTCTACATTGCTGTCATAGCAGCTAGGCTGGCCTGGTGGATATTATTAGCAAATGCTGCTTTTTCCAACTGGAGACAACTCTAGATGTTTTTGAAACCAGCCTGATTCCTGTATTTTTTTGTTTTTAATGCCTGACATTTTATTATGTTTTTATATGTGTTGGAAGCCACCCAGAGGGGCTGGGGCAACACAGCCAGATGGATGGGATATAAATAATAACAATTATTTTTATTACATTTCTCTCCACTTAAGGTTTTGCCACCATGAGGCCTCTGCATCACCAGCCCTGTCTCCTCCTAGTTGGAGAAGGAAACTTTTCCTTCTCTGCCAGTTTGTGTGAAGCAAGGAGTTGTGAGGCTCACATTGTTGCTACTTGCTATGAGAGTGAAGCTACTGCAACTAGACAAGCTGTTGCCAAGTCCAACATACAATATCTGAGGGACAGAGGTAAAAGGAAGAAGAAAAATCAAAAAAGAAAACTTGTTTGTTGCATAATTTCTGATAGCTGTTGTTGGAGAACTATTTTCATCAGAGCAAATTGGCTTCTTGGGACTCTGATAATGGGCTTGCTGGGATGCCACAGGATAAATGGGGTTGCTAGGATCCTGCCTAGACATGTAAACCTTCTAAATAAGTAACTGGAAGTCCATCTGTCCTCCTCTTTATAGCAAGTTGGACTTGCCCTGCAGTAGGTCAGATGGAAGAAGCAGGATTAAGGGACCAGGGAAATGAATGGTGTTCAGAAGCCACGGTTGCATTTTCACAATATCTGATTAGAGCAAGTTGAAGAAAATTGAAAATAAAAACATTATTAGAAACTGTAGGAGGTAGAGGAAAAATTGGATTGTGCTTGTGGAAGTTGTTCCACTTGTTCAGTGACTTCCCAGAGCAGTTAAATGAAAACAAATCATGGCTCCACCATAGCCAGGCCACAGTCACACAGTCAAAAGGAATCAGTTACAGCATTGTCATCTACATTCTTGGCACATTTAGAGAGCTGGAAAGGATCTTGTTTCAGTCTAGCTTGACTTGCTTCTTGAGTCACTTGAAGCTATTTATTGTATCTGCTGTGTACTTGTGGGCACAACAATCAGGTTTAGGTGAATTAATTTGTGGAAGACCTTGTCCTGAAGCAAGGAACTGTGATGTGGGTATTGGGTGAGGACCCTGCAAATTCAAGCCTAAAGAATATATAAATTTGCTTTCAGTTGTTACCTTTGTTGCATTGGGAATACCCTTCCAGGCAGTGTCTCATTAAGATAATGATAATAATAAAGATTCTGCCTTTTTCAAGTGCCCATTAAAGTGTGTATTGCATGATCTCCTAGTATCTTACATATCATTTTTCTTTTACCATTCCAGGTGCTAAAGTTCTCTTTTGTGTTGACTGCACAAAACTGAAGGAGCATTTTTTGCCAGCTGATTGGAAATTTGATTGCATTTATTTCAACTTCCCCCACTGTGGGAGAAAAGCTGGAGTGAAAAAAAACAGGGAGCTTCTTGCCAGGTTTTTCTTTAGGTGAGGCCAAAATGAACCATGTCAATGTACTCTTGTTACTGGGAAGGTGGTGTGTGTTAATTTCAGTTGATGTTGCTACCTAACACCAAAACCTGTCTTCAATATAAAATTGATATAAATGTGAGCCAGCTAAGTTCAGATGTTCTGGTTTTATACAGGCAGGCATATTTAGTTGATGCGCTTTCTTTTAAACACTATATACAAATAAATGCTTTGTTGCAATTGGCTGTTTTGTGCAACGAGGCAGTGTGGTAGCAGATGGTCTGTATAAGTAGGGGAAATGCACCAGGGTTTTCATGCAAGAGGTGATGGGCAGAGAACTAATAATTCTGCGCCTTGGAGTTCCTATTAATTTTTGCAAGTTTTCCAGCACCTCCAGTTAGAGGAACTATAAAGATCCTATTTGGAGCTGATAAGGTCTAGTGAGAAAATATAAGCACTATGTGTTTCCCTCTCTTTGTAATCTTTCTTTTGCTGAAAGTTTCTTGTCATACCTGCCCAAGCACAGTAACCAATCGTATAACACACTCTTTCCCCTCTCAAAGTGCAACTCTCACAATCCTTCCCCCACCCCCTAAAATATTGCTAAAAGCAACACAGTCCAAGGACTTCTTGGAAACAGCTTAATAAGGCAGCAGAGTGTTGCCTCAGGCACAAAAGAATGCTACCCATTACTCCTCTGTTCCTTTTCCAGCTGTGCAGAGGTCCTGGCAGAGAAAGGCAAGGTCCATGTGGCACTTTGCAGAGGGCAGGGTGGTACCCCTGCAGACCAGCCTGTGAGGGAATGGCATAACAGCTGGCAAGTAGTGGCTATGGCAGCGGAGGCAGGATTTATTTTGAGCGACATTCATCCATTTAACATCGGGGATGCTTGCGGATATAAATGTACAGGTTACAGGTAAGTTGCAGCACAGCACAGCAGATGGTGGCATTCCAGATGTCATTGTGGGTGTTGCCATGGTAACCAGCATATTAGCATCTGCTCTTGCTTCTGAAGCTCCCTCCGTGTTTAAGAAACAGCAAGGAAGTTTCTTTGCTGGATGTTGCTTTATAAGATTCCTGCCTCTAGCAGCAAGAGTGCTATATTTTATACCAGCCTTTCCCAGTCTGGTACCCTCCAGATGTTTTTGACTGCTGACTCCCACCAGCCTTGACTCATTGACCTTGCTGGTTAGGGTAATGGGAGTTAAAAATTCATGGAGGACACCAGGATGGGGAAGGCTGCATTTTAACTGTCTTTGGTTCTCAGGACTTTATCAGGTTAGTTGATAGAGGGAATGGATTGGATCTCAATCTCCAGTTAAGTGCTACACAGATACTGGGGGAAAGAGTCAGTAGTTTCCCATGCCTTCCTTCCACCATTTACTTTCAGCCAGCCTGGCATTTATACCAAGGCCCTGAATCTACAGTCGTACCTCTGCTTATATCCCTCTGGATATGTAAACTTCAGGTTGTGAACGCGGCAAACCCAGAAGTAATATACTTCCGGCTTTTGCTGTGCATGCATGCGCAAAAGTGCTCTGCACGCCACACGCATGCGCAGAAGCGCTCAATCACGCCGCGTGCGTGCACAGAAGGGCGCCTCCGGTTACAGACTTTTCAGGATGCGGCCGGGCCTCCGGAACGGATCCCATCCGTAACCAGAGGTACCACTGTAATTGGTTTACTGTTGATCATGTAGCTCAGCATAGTTTGTTTGGTTTCATGCTTGTGCGAATAAAGAGTGTCTATTTAACCATTCTTGGCTTGTTTGTTTGCAGGAGTCAGGATAAACCTTTTCATGTAGAAGGAGCTTTGAATCACATATTCACACAGAGTGTGCCTTTTCAGCATCCCAAGCCTATGATCTGTCAAACAGAACTGGAAGGAAAGTTGGTTTCCTTCCTTGTTCCAGAGATATTTCTAGATAAGATTAACAGGTATGTAACTGAGTTTCAGCACCCATTTGAAGTTAATAAATATACAGCATAGTCACTCAGTTGAGGACTGTGGAAAATTCAGTAGGCATCTTATTTTCTTAGCCCTGGGGTGATCTTTAGACCAGTCCTCACAATGTTAATTTTGATACAAGTTCCATTGACTAGTATTTACTTCTGCGTAGGTATGGTTGGCGTTACAGTCTAATCTTCATCTAAAGTTTGTAATGTATAAAATATATTGTGGTTTAATGGATGTTTGCTGAATCCAAATCCTGGGGAAAGCTGCATTCAAATTCTCCTTCATGGGATCTCTTTGTAGCTTTGAACTACTAGAGACACGATATCCTGCTGCCGTTACTGCTGGAAGGGGGCTCCAGCTGTCAAAAGACAAATAGTCCTGTCTGTCTTGGATCATCTGGAAGAAATATTTGCTGCCAGATGGTCTTCCCACCTGCAAAACTCACTAAGGATCATATAGCTCCTTTGCACATTTTGGCGCTACATGAACAGAGTGCTGTTCTTTAAAATACAAAATCCGAGCTTAATGACTTGCCTAAGAATATTGCTTTCTGTTGTTTTTTCCCTGTTTTTAAATAGGGGGTTCCTGGATACAAATTCGGAACATCCTATAAGAACAATAAACGAAAAGCTCACTGATGAGCTTGGCAAGTCTTTCCCAGTTCAGAAAGTGAGTGCTTCTCTTTCCTTGATGTTCCAAGATTGTCACAGCTCTTCTTCCACTCTGGATGCCACTTGGATGGTTCCTGCTGCCCAAAGTAACCCAAAAGCCAAGTCTGTGGTTAATAAAACTGCAGCGGATACAGAGGCCTTTGCCTTTCCTTCTGGCTTTCCTGCCTGGGATGATACAGATCTGGGTGGCAACTTGATCAGCTGGGAAAGAGATTGGATCTTTGGACATTATTGTCTCCGACCTTCCCTTCTTGTTTCTCTTCACAGAACTGTACGAGACAGAGAGCTTCCTCTGGGGACTTTCCTGGTCCTCAGTGGGCTGGCATTTAGGAAATGCAAGCTCTCGGCTCATGCTCTGCCCATTTTTCATGAGTCCGTTTTTATCTGTGTGGTTAATAAGGGCACAGAAGAAGCGTGTAGCCAGCTCCTTGCAGAAAACCTTACAAGTACTTTATGTGCTCTGCTCCAGCCTTCAGGCTTCAAGCTAGACTGTACAGCGGACAAGCCAAAGACACAGCTAAATACTTTTGCGAATCCTGAACTTCAGCTCCTTAAATCAAAGTACTTTTTCAGTGTGACCCCTGACACTTCTGACCCAGACGCAGATAAACTTTGTGTAGGGACCGTAAGTACAATGCCGTGGCAGCCTACAAGCATTGATAGAGAAATTATTTGTGCTTCACTGAACCTTGATCTTCTGGCCATGCATGTATGTGAAATCTTTGACTGGCGCATGCTCTGGACTTCTGACGAGCGCTTCCTAAATCAGTTTGCAGGAGGGCATTTAGGTCCGTTCAAGAGCTTTTCCCTCTACCCGGTCTCCTACGTTCATGACGTCAGCTTCTGGGTTCCGAAACCAGAAGAGTTTAATGAGACCCAGCTCCATGCCATTGCCAGGTGTGTGTCTTCTGAATCAGTGGTGTCTATCCAACTGCTCGACAGCTTTCGGCACCCAGGCACAGGGCAAACCAGCCTCTGCTACAGGATCACTTACCAGTCTTGTGACAAAGCACTGAGTCGCCAGCAGGTGGCAACGATGCAGATGAACCTTAGGAAAGAAATACAGCGCTGTCTGCATGTGACACTTAGGTAGTTCTTTATCATTCTGTGCAGACAGGTTTTGTTGGACTCCCTAATTCAAATTAGCTGTGTGTGTTAACATCAGGCCAACCGTAGCAAGCCTTTTATAAAGGCTGGATGGGCTTGAAGGTGGTGCATACACCACCTTCTTTCTATTTTCCTATTTAAGGCAATAAAGTCAAACACTTTATAAACCTTGTTTAACTCTTGTCACTCTCGGTGAGTTCTTTTTGGAAGAGGTTATTCATTGCAGGCCAATGTAATTGTATCCAGCTCCCGTTCAAAAGCTTATGGAGGCTGTAGCTGGTCAGAGAAAATAATACAAGGCAGCTTAATTGAGTCCCATCCACTCTTCTTTTGCTTATTTGGAATGGCATAAATGGAAACGCTGGAGATGTAACTGCAAGGTACATAGGGTTAAACCATGGGTAGGCAAACTAAGGCCCGGGGGCTGGATCTGGCCCAATCGCCTTCTAAATCCAGCCCGCAGACAGTCTAGGAATCAGCATGTTTTTACATGAGCAGAATGTGTGCTTTTATTTAAAATGCATATCTGGGTTATTTGTGGGGCATAGGAATTCGTTCATCCCCCCCCCAATATAGTCCAGCCCCCCACAAAGCCTGAGGGACAATGGACCGGCCCCCTGCTGAAAAAGTTTGCTGACCCCTGGTTAAGCTGTTCCGTTTGCATATCAGAAGAGGTAATATTTCTGAAGTGGAATTCCTGCAAAGTCTTTAGGATAAACTAAAAAAGAAGAAGTTACATTTCAGTTCTGCTACCCTGCAGACAGGCTCATGGCAACGCACACAATTCAACCATCGCAACAACCTGCCTAGGCTGAGAGATGGTAACTGGCCTAAGTTCACTTAGCAAGGCTTGTGGCTGAGCCAGGGACTTTACCTTGGGCCTCCCTCATCCGAGTCCAAAGTGCTGACTGCAACATTAACAGCAGCTTCTATACAGGAAATTCTACTACAGAAGGAGTGGGGGAACTTTTTCAGCTGAAGGGCCACTTTGCTTTCTGGACAGCCTTTCAGGGGCCACATGCTAGTGGTGTGGGGGGGCAGATGCAAAAGTGAGTATAGCAACAAAGGTGAATTTTACCTTTGTACAATCAACTACTTTCTTCTCTCACACATGCCCTGCCCTGTCCACAATCCAGGCAAGCAAGAAGCAGGATTAGAGTTCAAGGGCACATTTCACCCAGGCAAAAACACTCAAGAAGGGTGCAAAGCAGGAGTGGAGAGGGGTGTGGACTGGGGAGGGTCCCATGGGCCAGGTAGAGAGGCCTGGAGGGGCACATTTGGTCCAAAGGCCTGAGGTTTCCCAACCTTGCTGTGCAATGTCACCATGTTGACTCGGCCATGCCCACATCTTTAGGTGGTGGAATGCAAAGAGTATGAGTAACAAAATGCCAACATATTTATAATCAGGTCTGGCAAAGACCTAAATCAGCAAGTGCTGTTTCTTATTTTTAGAGAGGATTGTCACAGTTGTTTCTTTGGTTAAAATAAGAGACTGTTACAGAATCCTGAGCCCTTTGAGTCTGCTAAGCTTGTGCAGGATAGCTGGAAGAAGGGAGAATGGGTCTTATGCCCGCCAAGCCTTAACTAATCCAGTCAGTCTGGATGCTCACAAGCTTGGATGAGCTCAGGTCTTATTTAAAACCAATGCAGTCACTTCTCTGCTACCCTGCTTCATATTGGCACACGTGGTGCACAGTGATGTTGGTGAATTCAAGATGCACATACAGTGATATTTACTGCCAATGTTGTAATACTAAACAGATAATAAGCCCCACTGAATGCGACCAAGTAAACAGGCATAGCGTTGTTGCAAGCTTATAAAGACTCGTAAGCTCCATTACATTCAGAGGGGCTTGTGAATAAATACATAGGAACAGGGTGATGCACTTTTCAGCAAACATGCATGAAAGATGGAGACAAATTCTATTCCCCCCCCCCTTGTTCATTGGTTTGCTTCAAGTGGAGTGTGGAAAACTTTTGAATGCAGTAAGAGCAAAATCATGTAATGATGGCTGGTATGCAAGATTCAGATAAAATTTAGGCAATGCAAACCACCCTGAGTCGTGGTAATCTACTGAAAAGCAAGTCTCGTTCCAATAAATGGGTCTTGCTTGCATGTACGTAGAATCTCAGCCACAGACTCACTCTTGGCACAAAATAAATTGTAAGGCACACACTGGGTGTTAATTTAAAAAAGGCACAGGAGGGTAGGGAGGTTAGTGAGGTAAGTATTAGTCCTGAACACATTTTACTCAGCAGTAAATCCTACATACTTTGGGCATGCAATTCTAGGATTTATCTGCCAGTGCTGAGTGGGGAGAGATAATGAATGTATTTGTGCAACTGGAGCACACTGTAAAACTACCATCTTGTGCTCAAGTTGCCAGCTGTGTGTGCACATCTGCAATCTTCAATTACTTACCTGGAAGCAGTTTTTACTTCAATAAATACATACTTCTGTGAAAACATGTCCAGGAAAGCAAGGGCACCCTAAAGGTGAGGCATTTCCCTTGCAGGCATTGAGGGTGTGAGGCTGAGTACACCCCATACCTTTAAAGCACATCCAAAGCACGTTTCCCTCTCAAAGAATTCTGGGCACTGTAGTTTACCACTCCCTGAATTGCAATTTCCATCAATCCATAGCCAACTACAGTGTCCATAATTCTTTGAGGGTGAAGCTGTGCTTTGAATGTGCTTCAAAGGTACAGCTGTAAGCAGCCTGAGAGGGAAGGGAGCAAGCCATGGCATGCACCACGTGGAAAACCTGAGCAGCCACCCACAGCAGTGCCCTACTTGGTGAGTTAGTGGAATTCTGGATTTTGCTGCTAAAGACGGAAGGGGTCACATTTTTGAATACTACTTCCCGTTCACATTTATATATGTAGATAAAAAGCCCGCATCCCTGCAAGGAGAAAACTAGCGCATCAGCGAGAGGCTCAACATTTCTCTGCTAACTGATGACATACAAGGGATAATAAACAACATGAAAGGGCACGTTCAAAAGCGACCCTCCCACTTGGAAAGTGAAGTGGTACAGTCTGAGAATGCATAAGGTAACAGCTGCGGCTCCTTTCTATAGAGTCTTCTCGCCCTGAGAGAGGGAGAGACACGTTTTCCTAGCGGCCGCCGGCGCCCCAGCAGGGAAAGAGACTGCGCTTGCGCGTGTCTGTTTGCCCGGACCCATCATGGCGACCGCCACCTTCAGCTCTGACGTGTCCCTCTCTTGACTGCCGGGAGGAGCCTGCCGTCGAGGCCGTTCTCGTGCCCACACTCGGCATGGCGGCCAAGGGGCCCCGGCAGCGGCCTCGAGGGGGAGGTGGGGATGCGGCAGCGGCGGCTGCCGTTTCCCGCCAGCGAGAAGAAGCGCCCCCGCCGGCCACTGAGGAGACCAAAGCCGAGTAGGTGGCAGATAATGTGGTGGGGTGAGCGAGGAGGATATGGGGGGGGGGGGAGCTGCCATTAGGGGGTGACTTGGAGGGACGGAGACACTTTATAGGGGGGAGGGTTGCCTGAGGTAAATGGGGTCCCCTCGAGGAATTTGAGGTAGGGTCAGATAGGGAAGTCTCCTTTCGCGGTGGACTCGTGGGGGTGGCTCCTGTGGCGCCTGAATTATTAGGGCCTTCCTGACTTTAATTTTTATTTTATGGGGGGCATTGGGCTGAGGGAAGCTTCCTTAAGAGTCGGGCTCAAAGGGTCATGAACTGTGGGGGCTTTGGAAGTGGAATTTATGGAATTCTCTTTTTGTTTTGGTTGTTGGATGATTGTAAATTTCAAAATTTGGAAAAATTAAATGAATTTGAAAATTTGAAGAAGAAAAAAGGAAGTGGAGCAGGGGTGGGAGACACTTGACTGGTTTTAGGCTTTGTAAAATGCTGTGTTGCATCATGGATATAAGCCATGATGAGATACAGATTGTTGCTTGGAAGTGGAAGGACTCCCACGAAAAAAATGCACCTCTCAGAATCGTGTAACGCCCTCCATTGAATCTCTGTCCAGCACTGTCATATTGCACACACATAAACAAACACATCCCTCAATCGTGTAGGAGACATGAAGCAGACTTGAGGACATTGTCCAGAGGATAGAGTCTCCCTATTATTTGTAACTCCCTCACCCTATTCAGCTGCCTCCCCGCACTGCAAAAACAAAACAAAACCACACATGTCCCGTAACAGCATCATATAAATAGTATTCACACACACACACACACACACACACACACACACAGGAAGAGCTTTGTGGGACTCTCCCCGATTCTATGGAGACAGCATCAAGACCAGTAGGATGTGTTGCTGTTCTCCCCACATATAAATAGGATGTTTCATGGGGGATTATGAAGCAGAGAGACACACTTCTTTCTTTCTCATGCCACAGGCTCCCATTTGGGTGTGTGTAGCTTTGCATTCTTGTGCATAGTTTCTTGAACTGAAGGCAGGATACTGCCTCAAAGCAAGAAACTAATGCAGTTCTTGTTCCTGCCAGCAGCCATGCAAGAAGGTATTTAGAAAAGAACCTTTAGCAACCCGCGGGGTAGACATGGCATCCTTCTTGATTATAGGCCAACCAAAGTTTGGGCCGATCAGTATATTGTCAGAAGAAGACTCTGCACTCACTGATCAATGTGCAAATCAGTGAGAATTTATCTGCAGTTGTCTCCACAGTGAGAATTTTTAGATGTGTGCAGTATTTCTGGGTGTTTAAAAATGCTTCATTTTAAAATCTGGAATCATTCCCTGAGCACCCTTCCCTTTTCTCAGCTTCAATCACCTTGCCACTTCCGTCTAATCCCCTCACCTTATCATCCACTCATGGGGCTAACACCTGTCTTTTTTTGGCTCTCCCCTAGGTCGTCTGGGAGCAAAGCAGGACATGTCTGGGCCCCTGAAGGATCTACAGCTTTCAAGTGTCTAATCTCAGCCAGGTTCTGTGCCGCACTGTTGAGTAACATCTCCGACTGCGATGAGACATTTAACTACTGGGAACCTGTGAGTCTCGTTTGTGTCTGTGAAGTGCCTTGTTGGGGTGTGAAGGGGGTACATGTTCAACCCAAATCCTTATTCACTCCTGAATTGAGTAGTAGTGGTATCCAGGGTATACCCTTTGGTTTGTTGTGATGCAGGATCACGATCCTGCAGGTTCATGTTTCCTAAGGGTGACACTGCAGATCTTTTGCTCTTCCTCTTAATCTTTTGCCTATAACTGGCTTAGCTTTTAGCATTGTCTGTGTGTACGCATCTTACTAAAGCGAGAATTAGAACACCTTCTCACTTGATTTTGTAACACGTCCTACAGATGCACTACCTCGTTTATGGTAAAGGCTTCCAGACATGGGAATACTCTCCTGTCTATGCCATCCGCTCCTACGCATACCTGTGGCTCCATGCCTTACCAGCTTTGTTCCACGCCAGAGTTCTGCAAACAAACAAGGTAATGTGCATACTTCAGGAGTCAGGAATCCCAGGCCCAGGGCCAAATGCAGCCCTCTCTGTCTGGCCCTTGCTATCACCCAAGGCCACACACCCTCACCAGCCCTATGTCATACCCTCTTTGAATGTTTTTGCCTGCCTGGAATGTGTCACTGAACTTAACTAATGCCTCTTGATTGTGTGGAAACTAGCTTAGAATACAAAGACATTGCTATGTCCGCCTCTGCCATCACCTACCACTAGTATGTGATGCCTAGAAAGTTGCTCAGATGGTTGGGTAGCCCTCAGTCTGAAAGATATTCCCCTCCCCCCATGACATACCTTGACTTCATCTATGTGCTGGGTGCTCTATCCATGGCTCACCCAAGCTTCCCCTCTCCCCAACCTCCTTCCCTCCCTTCTGTTAACATGGACTCCTGTATCCTTGGTGCAGTGTGGGACACCCAGTTTGCACATTGTAAAGGGTCTGCCCACAGTTTACTAGAGTCGAAAACAGCCTAACATTCTGTTTGTTAATCAAATATCCCTTTCATTTTTAGTCTGGGCAAGTCCATATTGGTGAAAGCTCTGGCTTTATGAGTCCTTACTCATAAGGACAGAGGTATGTGGGTTTGACTCTGTCTGCAAGCATTGTAATTGTAACTGTTCATCCTAGGTTCTCATCTTCTACTTCTTGCGCTGTCTTCTGGCCTTCCTGAGTTGTGTTTGCGAGCTTTACTTTTATAAGTGAGTACAGAAAGTGCTTCCTCTATTACCATTGTGAATACTATGACCATTGACACAGCTGTTACTGAATGGGAATTTGTCAGTTCATCAAATAAGAAATGTCCCTTGATAAACTACTGGGCAAGTACATTTCTAGAGATCTTGGGCATGTTTTCTATGTGCATATCTTACATTGTAAGCCACCTTAAGGATCTGATTCAGTTAGAAATCTTAAGAGCTGGAGCAATTTTGTAGGTTGGCCTAGGATATAAATCATTATTAAACTGTCAGATGAGACAGTCTTACCATTGAGCTGCCATTCAGCATTGCTATCTGTACAAACCTGCTGCTTCTCATCACACCAGTCTCAACTGGCATGTAGTTGGGAGACTCCAGCAAAAAGGCAGAAGGGGGCAGAGGTGGTAGGGGTTGAATGGAGAAGTTCAGAAGACTTATTGAGAAGGAAATATAAAGCCTGGTACTATGTATGCTGGTAGCTGGATTCATAGTACAGAACTGGCCAGAGGTCATGTTACTACCTTAGAGGTGCCCATAAGCCGTTAACATCTAAAGCTGTGTTGTATTCATCATTTATTTATTGTAAGATATTTATATACTACTTTTCTGGCACCAAGTGGTTAACATAAAAATGTTAAAACAGTATGCATGAATTAAAACTACATAATTAAACAGCCAAGACAAGCTACAAAAGGTGGGGAAGCTTTTGGCAAAATATATTTTCTTTCAGGGCAAGATGGCTGCTTTAGTTGAGGGAGACACTACCTCGTCTGGAGCTAGTCTTTGGCCTGTTTAGCCCACTCCTGGGTCTTTCCCAGCCCAGACTCCTAAGCCCCCCTTTTAGCTGCATAAAACACACCTCTGCTTTGTCACTAAGTTACGTGATAGGTCTGAAAACATAGCTGCCTTATTCTGAGCCATGCCTTTGGTCCATATTGTTGTCTGCTGTGCTCGCAAGTTCTTGGCTTTTGCAGGTCTTGGGACTTTTTGTGCACTGGAACTGCACTTATTTTACCTTCTACTTCCCCAGGGCCGTGTGCAAGAAATTTGGGTTGCATGTGAGTCGTCTCATGCTGGCTTTCTTGGTACTCAGCACTGGGATGTTCTGCTCAGCGGCTGGTGAGTTAAGAAGTGAATTGCTTGAGGGTTAGGAACCGATTTCATATTGACTTTTGATGGGAAAGGATATTCTCCTGCAGAATTTGCATTTTTGGGTAGAGATGGGTAAGAGGTTGCATGAGAGGTGGAAATTATATGGTCTGTATAGGCAAATCTTTCCTCCTCTCTCTTTCCAGCTCCCTGTATGCCGTTTGAATGATTCACCTAATATTCAGATATACCAGAGCTTTCAAAAGTGTGTGTCGCAACACATTAGTGTGTCGGCTATAGCGTGTAGGTGTGTTGTGTGAACACTTCCTGCACTCCTCCCAGGCCTGGATAGTGGTTAGTTTAATCTCTGGTTTTCTAGTAAAACTGAATTACTGTGTTGCGAAATGATGCATGTCTAAAAAGTGTGTCACCAACATGAAAAGATTCAGGTAGGTAGCCGTGTCGGTCTGACGCAGTTGAAGTAAAAAATAAAAAATAAATAAAAGATCGTCCAGTAGCGCCTTATAGACCAAGCTTTCGTGTGCATGCACTCTTCTTCAGATACACAGACACACACTTTAGACTTCAGACACACTTCTGAAGAAGTGTGTGTGTACACGAAAGCTTAGTTGGTCTTATAAGGTGCTACTGGACAATCTTTTATTTATTTATTTATTTTCCCAACATTAAAAGTTTGGAAAGCTCTGGCATATACTTTTCAATCTTTTCTTCATATCAATGGGGGCTAGAAACTTGTAACAAAAATAAATACTGAGATGCTCAGGATTCTGAAAAGGACATTGGATTTTGTACTAGGTAGTCAGTGCAGACTTTTGTTCATCCAGATTCTGTGGAATTAGCAATGCATAAGGACTGTTTCTGGTTTTAAGATCAGTAGAATCAGAACATGAAAGGCATTCACTTTGCTTACTGCAAGAGTCCTCACTATTTGTTGGAGAACTTAGCCTGGATCCTCAGGTGTAACTGGAGTAAGGGACTTGCCTTGCTCCCTGAGCCCCCTGCATCTTGGCGTAAAAAGAGACCATCTGTTGCAGAACATTTCCAGAGGTGAAGAATGAGACTCCAGTTAGCAAGAGGTTGCTTAAGAATCACCTTTTCCAGCAGAAGGATTCTAAGCATTATGTTGGTTCATATGTAACCTCAAGCACCCCCACCCTTCCAACTGCCTTACATTGTGTACAGTCCCTAATCCATCTAGCCTAGTACTGTCTACTCTGACTTCTGCATTCAAAGCAGATGCTCTCCCATTGAGCTACAGCTCCTTTCCTATGTCACATGTTCTCAGGTTTGTGCTGAGAAAATCTGCTGCTGACAAGGAGTCCTGAAATGACGCCAAGTCATCTGTGGGGCTCTGAATGCTTTCTGCTTTCTCCCAGACCCTGATTCCTTTTTGCTTCTTTTGCTTTTCAGCCTTCCTCCCCAGCAGCTTCTGCATGTACAGCACAGTAATAGCAATGACGGGGTGGTACATGGATAAAATCTCTCTGGCGGTCCTGGGCGTGGCTGCAGGAGCCATTGTGGGCTGGCCTTTCAGTGCAGCACTTGGGTAAGCAAAAGGGAGTGGGGAACGTGAAAGCATTTAGGGACAGGTAGCTCTAGGTGGGCCCTAGCCAGCTGCAAGGGCAACAATGTCTCTCCAAGACTGATCAGTTTCATTATTGTCCTCAGGTTATTATAGCTCTGTGCGCAGGGCTGCAATATTTGACTTGCTTGGGATTGTAGCTGCGCAATTGTTGTTCCTTGAAGAAGTGTAAATGTTGTGTTTTGGAACCTGGTTGTTTTGCATTCCATTCAGGTGCTGTGACACTCAACTATTGAAAACTTTTTAATTAATTTCCTAGGCCTCATGGTGGCTAGAGGAAAGTTTAAGAAATATGTGGGAGGTACCATCAAAATTAACGAGAGCTTCCATTCCTTAAGAGTACAACTGGAAGCATTTGGCTATTATTGCAACTGGAATTGTTCAAGTTAAGAAATTATATCACCATGTAATTTGTAAAATTCTGAGCAGAGAACTTTGCATACTGCCATAACAAGTGATACCTTAAGACACTGCTTTGTAGGCACTAAGTAGGCTTCTGTAGCAGTAGTGCTTCCCTAGAAAAGAGAGAGGATGGATAACAGGTAGCTCTTATCCTGCTATGTTCACCATGAAAAGGGGATTCCCTGTTACTCCAAAAGGATTGCTCTAACTTACCTCTATCCGCTCTTTGAACCCCTCCCTTTTTTGTCCTGTATTTCCAAAGTTATCCAGCCAAATCGTTCCAAACTATGCTTTTTCTATCTCTGTTCCTTTTGCTGCTCTGTCTTCCAGTTCTATTTATCTATTCCCATGATTCATAAATGTCACTCCCTACTCCCTCTGCTGTTCTTGGGGGGGGGAATGAATTCCTTTGCATCCTTGATTAATTTAGAAACAGGATTATATTCAAAGGTAGGTGGGTGGGGCTCCACATGGTTGGTTTGGGGGGGCTTGGAGGGGGGGAGGGCTAGAGTGAGTGTGCAAGGGTCAACTGATAAATGTTTTAAAACATCCAAGTTGAGATGTGAATATTTTTGGCATCTCCTTTTGCCAGGCTTCCTATTGCCCTGGACTTCCTCATCCTGAAAAGAAGGTGGAGAAGCTTCCTGAGGTGGTTTCTGGTCGCACTAGTGGTGTTTCTGGTGAGTTTTCCAAGTTATTTGTGGAGAAATAGCTCAGAGGGGAGTGTTGTATAATGGGAACTGAGTGTCATGTTCTTCCAAAGGGGTTACTGAAGAGGAGGGGTCTCCACAGTTCTTGCACTTCTGACTCCCCACTCTTCCTTCCAAAGGAGTATTCTGCTCAGTGAAGTCATGTGGGCATATCCCATTGTGTTCTGCATGGCTTTCTGGACAGGAAGGTATTTTCTCTATGGCTAAAAGAGGCACCCTGGGAAGGGGCAGTAATGTTCATGTCTCCTCCCATATTGTGGCATCTTCACAATGTATGTTTCCCACAAGTCTCCCTTGACAGCAGTAGATAATGCTGTTGGCTGTGGGAGGGCAACATACACTGCAATGCCCTTACATCAGATGTTATCAACCTGTGGGTCCCCAGATATTGTTGGACTACAACTCCCATCATCCCTGAGCTCTGGCCTTGCTAGCTAGGGTTGATGGGAGTTGTAGTCCAATAACATCTGGGGACCCACAGGTTGAGAAAGGCTGCCTTACATTATGGTAGAAGTGATAACTACGACGGGTTTTTTTTTGGGGGGGGGGGTGTATATGCGCACACACACCTGATGGGAGGATCCTATGTTCAGTGTCAGCCTTGCATCTGCATCAGCCTGTAGTTCTTGTGCCCTAAATTCTGGTCAGCACCGCTGTTTTGCTTGGTTTCCGAATGTGGGAAATGCAAGTGCTGTCCTGGAATTGAGATAATCTAGAAACAGCTGTGTTCTTCTTGTTGAATGAAGGTGCCCCTGGTGGCTGTTGACAGTTATCACTATGGGAAGCTTGTGATTACTCCTCTCAACATTGTCTTGTACAACGTCTTCACGCCACACGGACCAGATCTTTATGGTGAGTCCACACCTGGACATATGTAAATGTTTTGGGGCGCTGGGTAGGGACTGCAAAAGCTAAGATGTGATAATGGTGCACAGTTTTGTGGGTTGTTCCCAGAGCTGGCCCTGTTTGCAGAGCTTCCTCTAGCAGCCATACCGTGAAACACTTGGGTTTTGCAAGCCCCAGCAGCCTCTCCGAAGGAATCCGGGAGCAAACCTCTTAGATTCAACTCAAGTCCTTAAAATCGCAGCTACTTCAAGCAGACTGCATGAGTCGCTGATACAGTCTTGCAGCCTCTGAGGGATCAAGGGACACCTGAACTTGCTCTTAGTTTGGCACTTCTTAACTTAATCTGAAGCATAAGAAGAGATGCTTTACCTTGGTAAAGAGATGCACCACCTGCAGACTTGAAATGGGATTTCTGCCATGCAGACAGCTGGTCTCATTGAAATGTACAGCGGGAAGCAGGCAGACAGTATGTAGTTATGGGAATTTGTGGACTATAGGGGTTTGGGTGAGTCTAACCTTCTCTGAAACTGCTGGTGAATAAGTCCAAAATGAGGACATTTATGCAGTGGGTTGGGAAGCAAATCTAGTTTCCTGTGAGATGTTTCAGCTGAGTTGGTTACTGCCTTCATTTATTCCTTTATAAGGACCTGTCTTACATTGGGGTCATACTTTTTGGGTTCAGCTAGCTCCATACTGGCTACTCTGTACTGACAGTGGTTATCCCAGGTCTTGGAGGTGTTCCCCAGACTCTGAGTGGGAGGCAATGATGTATGTAAGACTGCAGCTTCTGGCTCTGTGGCTGTGGTTGTAACAGCAGCTTGATCTCTGTCCTTCTGTGAGTCCTTCAACTCTGCACAATGATTCCAGACACACATCACTGTTGGACCTTGGAGCCTCTTCTCTCTGTCACTGTATTGAGCCTGACCTTTACACATTTCATGCATGAGCATGAGCTGGCTCTGCTGTCCTCGGGGGACCAGTGAATTCTGAAGTGTCTTACTCAGAATGACGCTTATGTAACATCTTCATGCTAATGAGAGAGCTGCTTTAATACTGTCTCGCCTGGAAACACGATGAAGAGCAGAATGCCGTGTGCGTTTAGACAGTGTCACCGAGGCACACACACAAGGATGACTCAAGGTCGGATGTGTCTGGATGGATTTTGTTTGTTCTGACTTTGAAGTAAGATTCCATGTTTGCCTCATCCATCTGGGTTCAATGCTCAGGCATGGAATCTGGCATTTTAATTTTTGTTTTTAAAAAGCAAGTTTCTAGATCTCATGGATGCTGCTAAATGTTTGCTAGTGGAAACAAAACAAGGCTTAAAAGAGGACTTCTGATGGTCAGAAAAAGAACACTCTCTTCCTTTTCCTGTAATTATTCCTCAGGGCTGGAATTTATATTTGTCACCCAGGCTGTGAAAAATGCGACACCAGCACCTTGGAATTTGGGATATGTTGCTGTCATCTGTTCTTGCTGCCCATAAACCTCATCACCATGCTCTTGTTTTGATCCAGTACATGCAACCCCTTATTATCCACTGTCACTATCCGTATGGTTGAATGCATCATACTTTCTACTTCCAAGATAAGATTAAAGGGTTTTAGCCTGTGCTATTCCTACTCAGAGTATACATGGCTAACATAGGCCCAAAGTGGATCAGATATAAATTTTGAAAAGAAGCAGAAACATAGCAATTGACAGAGGAGAGGAAAATGGAGACAAGGAAGTAAGAGAAGAATGTAATCTTGGGTTTAGTTTCAGGAAGCAATGAGGACTAAAGTGAGTGTGACCTTGGCTCTTGGCATTACTGGAGTGTTTCTTAGCTTCCATGCTTTAATGCTGCTTGATAATCCACATAGCAGTGGCAATGCTCTTACCTTGTGCTAGAACAGTATTGGGTAACGTGGTGGCCATATTGGCCTAAAACTTAACAAGCCCCACTCCAAAGATACAAAAGCTCGTAGCAATTTGCTACTGAAGAAGCCCTCCAGGAGATGAAAGCAAGGCAAAGACGCAATGTCATCCTTTCTACTTTTGTCTCTGCTAGGCGACAGGTGGTACAGGCCTTTGTTCCTAGAGAAGGTTCACCTGCAAGTTCAGAAACTCCCACAAATAGATGATTGTCTCGCTGGCCCTTGTGCTGTTGACTTTCCTCTGTCGTGGATCATGACTTCCCCAAATACACGCTAGCCTAGGAAGGGTAAAGAAAACCCCATTTTCCCTCCAGCAACCTTCTGCACCTCTTTAAAGGGGGGGGGCTGCCCTTGTTCTTGAGAGAGCCATGGGTCTTAAAGGAGAAGAAGAGTTCAGCTGAAGCAAGTCAGGAAGGTTGTCTGCTTCGCAGGGCTGTCTGCAGCCAGCTGCTGGATGAATCGTTCTAAATTGAGGTGGAACCGCGATGTCTTTTGTTCCTTGCGTGCTTTTTATAGCTCCACTACGCAATGCAGTGTTACCCCAGAACTATTCTAATCCCTTGAATCTCCTGTGCCTCTGCCAAGCCTTCTAAATTGGGAAAGCACCTTTGCTAAAGAATTAAAGGGGTGGAGGAGGAGAAAGAAGAACCGTTCGTTCTTTGCCATGGCGGGTGGGGGGAAGGTCAGCTGCCTTGGAATTGCTGAGGGCCCCAAGAGCAAGGCGCCCTTTTCCCTTTCTGCATGACTCTGTGTGACAGCCTTCCCCAAACTAGTGCCCTCCAGATGTTTTGAAGTACAACTCCCATCAGCCCCAACCGGCATGGCTGTTGCAGTTTGAAGCATCCGGAGGGCACCATGTTGGGGAAGGCTGATGTGTGAAGAAAAAGGAGCAATGATAAATAATTACAGCCAGCATGTTACAGGACGTATTAACCTAGTCTGAGGGGAAAATAATAATTGGACTCTTGCTAGATACCATACCTGGTTGAAATTTGCAGATTGCCAGTTGTCATTTCAGGTGTTGCCGAGCAAGGAGCCTGTGTTTACTATGGGTTGTTTTGCCCCCCTTTAAAATTGAGCTGCAGTTCATCCCTGCTCTCTTGACAAACATCTCTGTCCGATATGAATGTTCACACCTGAACGTCACATTTACATCTTAGGTGAACACTTAAAACAAGCAAATAAGCAAGGAGCTTAAAAAATAAAAAGTAATGTGTGAGGAGGATATAATGGCTATTGGTTTTGATGGCTATAGGAAGCCACCAATTCTGGAGGCAGTATATCTTTAAATAATGGGTGCTGGGGAGGAACCATGGGGGAAAGCTGTGGCATTCAGGCCCAGCATGTGGGATTCCTAGAGGCATCTGCTGGACCTTTTGGCTAGAGGGCTGCTCTTTATGTTCTGGAGAGTCCTGAGGAATTGCTGGGTCCAGAACTTTGCTATTGCCCTGGAGAGTCTCTGTCTCAGGTGATAGGCCCTGACTGCAGAAGGGCATCACGAGGCTTCTTCAGGAGTCTGGAAATATTACACCTTTGCAACACCCCCCTCCCTAATTTTCTCTTCTCTCTTTGCCTCCCTTAGGTACAGAGCCCTGGTCTTTCTACTTCATAAATGGCTTTCTGAACTTCAACGTGGCCTTTGTGCTGGCACTCCTGGCCTTACCCCTAACCTCCCTCATGGAAAGTCTGCTGCAGAAATTTCACGGTGAGTGCTGCGGTGTGTTTTTGGAGCTCAGCTGGAAGCTACGGTATGACTGTCAGGCGATAGCTTGCTTGCAAGCGCAACTTCATTTGGTGGAATTGTCCAAATCCTTCCTGACTGCAAGTGTTCAGAGCAGCCGCAGAAGGGCAGGGCAGTCAGGGAACCTCAGGCGGAATTTCATGTACAGAGAACCTGCTATTACCCGCCACAAAAAATTGAAGTAGGATTCTAGCCCTTATGATGGACAGAAAAGCATTAGAAGTTCTAGGTGGCTTTTGCTGGAATCCTGGAATTCCAAGCGGGACTTTCCAATGGCTGGGGAGCAGGAACTTTGATGCCTGCCTGCAACTCCTTGTATCCTCTTCTCCGGCTAGTGCTGGTGGCTGTTATTCACCTTGGAAGCTTTTTGTTAAATTTAAAAGCAGAGTATAAGTACTTAACATGAATAAAGTGTGCCTTGCACATGCAGCCTCACTGCTTTCTGTTTTCTTCTCCCCCCTTTCTGAAATTCTTGTTCTGTATGTCAGTGGCTGTGTGCTATCAAAGGGCACCAGTTCTCCAATCAGGACTGCTTTTTTAAAAAAGCATCAAGCCTGCCTCCGCAACCCCTGCCTGGTCCCCTACTGCCCTGATGCCTCAGAAATGTTTATTTATTTATTTTAAATTTCTTTGCTAGCTGCAGGCTTGCTTATCCAGTATTTATAGAAGTTAAACAACTTGCAAATGGCAGCAGCCCAGCTTTGCCACAGGGCAGACACGCAAGTTCTTTCTTTGCACATTTTAGTTTTGAAAAACACCACGAGGATAGAGGAACTCGAAACATCCCCCAGCCTGGTCTTCCACAGGGGTGGGCTGGCTTCACTCTGCTGTGGCCCAATGTATTTACTTGTTACTAGCATCCCTGGAGGTCACTGATGTGAGTGATTTTTTAAATGTGGGAGCATATACTCCAGATCTCTAAACGGTTAAGGCGTAACTTGTTCCTGCTAGGTGTTCCTGAGAAGGCTCACCTGCTTAACAGCACAAGGAGTGCTATTCTGGATCAGACCAAGCTTTGAAAAACTCCAGCATTCTTTGTTTTGAAACAAACAAACAAACAAAATCCCAGAAACCAGTGGGGCACTGGGGAGGGGAGTGTCTGCCAGATACTGACTAGTGGTCCACTGGTGGGCCATGCTTGTCTTTCTGTCTTGCCCATCTCTGAAATGAAGGCTTGTACTTCCAGGGATGTCCACTAGAGTGCACTAAGCGCTCACGTTCTGCAGAGGGCGCCGCATGCACTGTGGGAAACATAAAGGCCTCTTGCCAGCCAAGCCCAGTAGTGGAGGCTGCTGTAACTACCCATTTCATGCCTTTCTGCTTAGCAGATTGTGTCCCGAAGCGGCGGCAGGGGGGGTCCCTTCAGTTGCACGCCTTGTTCTCACGGGCTTTGTGAAGCGCTGTGCAATCCTGATTTGCTTTAACACCCCAAGCTTTTCCTTTGGGGGGCAATTCAGGATTTTGACATATATTGAGCTGCCTCTGCAGCCCTTGCAAATTGAAGTAATTGCTGTTACTTCCAAATAAATGACTTCCTGCTTCATTCGAGGGGAGACAAGGGAGTGCCTTGGTTTTGTTTTCCTTCAAGAGAGAGAATGTGCGTTCAGAGTTCTCGGTGTACTCTGTTGCTGCTGTAACAAAGCATTGGAGGTTTTAGAAGTGCCCACCCCTAAGCAAGCACATTTTTCTTTCAACATCTTAGGCTCCTTAGAATTCCCCTTTGGATGAACTTCTACAGCACCTAGCAGGTAGCTGGTAAATCAAAGACTGTTCTCGTTTTTCCTATCACTCTGCTTATAAGCCTGGGGGAAAGTATTTATTTGTGAAATTTGAGGTATAGGCATTAATCATTTACCTTTGCCCAAGATCGGGTGGCTTTGAGATGTATTTAGTAGCTGTGTACCAAGCACTGTACCTATGCAGCTCAGGGTTCACATCGGAGCTCCATAAAGCAAGCTCCATAAAGCTGGGTCATGCCTGATGATAAGGATGCAAGAGGGGCATTGCTGGAAGAGGCCAAGGGTTTCCTTAGCCCAGCTTTCCATTTCTAGCAGCAGCCAGATTGATGCTCACAAACAGAGCATGAAGGAGTGATCCTCCCCTGCCAGTGGTGGTCTTTTGAGTTACAGGTCCTTCATGTGTGACTGTGTATACCTCTAAAGCACATTCATTATTTCCCTAAAAGAATTATGGGCACCCTCCCAGAGTTACAATTCCAACAGCCCTTAACAAATTACATTTCCCAGAATTCTTTGAGGGAGAAAACATTCATCAAATGTGCTTTAAAGGCATAGTGTGTACGCAGCCTATGAAGCCCGCATCAGATTTCCCCACCCAAAAGCCCAACAGAGACCTGAAATAAACAGCAAAGCGCTGCATTCCAAGATAAGGGTGTGGTGGGGTCCTGATCCAAATGCCTTGCTTGTCCTTGAGCCTCTCCCATCCTGGAGCTAACCCCCCCCTTTTTTTTTTGTTTCTTCCAGTTCAGAATCTGGGACGGCCTTACTGGCTGACACTTTCTCCCATGTACATCTGGATCCTGATTTTCTTCAGCCAGCCTCACAAAGAAGAGAGGTTTCTGTATCCCATCTACCCCCTCATTTGCCTATGTGGTGCTGTAGGACTCTCTGCCCTTCAGGTGCGTTTGGGGGTGGCGATGGCTGAGTGTGGGTGCAGGTGGAGAGGGCCCACACCTAAGCAAAGCTATGTTCATGCTAGGTGGTTCCCCCTTCACCGCATTGCTCTGAGTTCCCAACTTGACGCATGAGCTTTCCATGTATCCTCAAGAGTTGACATGAAGCAATAGTAAAAGAGAGAGAGGTTTGCAGGAATCTGTGCTATCCAGGAACACACAAGGAGCTTTTGTCTTCCTGTGGTTCCAGCTGCACATAGGAGTCCTGGGCTGGTTGCTCACAAAGTTGGTCTGGGGTTGTGCCAAAAAAAGTATAAAGGTGGGCAGCTGGCACCAAAGTAAGTCCACACTGTTGTCTCCCAGTGATGCTCCAGTTGCTCCTTTGCTCCAGTTGGCTCCTTTGCCAACCCAGTACCCTCCAGATGTTTTGAGCCACAACTCCTTCAGCCCCAGTGGCCAGGGATGATGGCAGCATCTGGAAAGCGCCAGCTGCACCATCCCATTCCGCTTTGTATTTACCGAACTTGTGCAGAAGTATAATTTTATGGAAAGGCTGTTAGAGGTTTATTTGCAGCAGCCACCCTCTTCCTCCACTGGGTTATTGAAATGAGCTCTATTCTCCCCTCCTCTTGTTGTAGTCTAAATGACATTCATATTTTGCTTTTCTCTCTCCCCTTCCATAGAAATGTTACCACTTCATATTTCAACGTTACCGCCTGGAGCACTACACTGTCTCTTCAAACTGGCTGGCCCTGGGGACCATCTTTGTCTTTGGGCTCCTGTCCTTGTCGCGCTCTGTAGCTTTGTTCAGAGGTTGGTTCTGGAGAGGCTGTCCTGCTGCTTATTAGTCAGAGGTGGACAAACAAACATCGTAATGCATTTCAGGGGTACCTTACTCCTCCCTTATCCAGAAACCATGGAGCAGGAGACACCTGACCATCAGCATGCCATCTGCGGAGAATGGCATTCTTGGTAGCTGAATCACAACTTTGGAATTTCCATTTGCCAAAGTCTGAGCCTAGCCATCTTTTGGGAGTCTTTCAGGCCTTTTGGTCTGTGCTGGTGGTTAATATTGGTGGTAGTCACGAGATTTTAACAACTCTTTTGATTCTTTCTCTCCTGCCCCTTTTGCTTCTCTCCTGATTTAAGGATACTGTGTGCTACCCAGAGCCTTTGGGATTTAATGTAAAATACTTCAGATGTGTTCTGAAATTGGGTAGCTAACCTAGGATGCTTAGCAAAGCACATGCAGGAGCCCCTTTTGAAGTTAAGAGGCCTTATGAGAGCTGGTGTGGCATAGTGGCTTAGAAACTGAGGAAGTCCCTGGTTTAGATATTGTCTCTGGCATTTCAAGTAAGACTGGGAGAGTCTTGACTTCTGACTGAATGTTGGAGAGCCGCTGCTGGTCTGAGCCTGTTGGACTCCGACTCCCATCAGCCCCAGTCATCATTACCAATGGTCAGAGATGCTGGGTGGTGTAGTCCAATATTCCGGAAGTTTTCTATCCCGAGTAGATAAGATGCTGAGCTATATGGGCCGGTGGCTTGGCTCCTTACAAGGCAGTTTCCAAAGTGTAAATTTCTGGTTCTCTTTGGTGAGTGCAAGGGAAGGGCATTTTCGCAGTTCATCATAGCTCAGGGAAGCTCATGCTGACTTGAAGGGGTTCCTAAAATTGTTTAGGCACAAAGGCACAGCCAACTCTTCTTCCTTTTTTTTTCACTTGCAGTGTCTCTTCCTCTTAGGTTACCATGGGCCCCTTGACCTGTACCCAGAATTCCACAGAATCGCCACTGATCCCACAATCCACACTGTGCCAGAGGGGAGGCCGGTTCACGTTTGTGTGGGGAAGGAATGGCACCGTTTCCCCAGCAGTTTCCTCTTGCCAGATAAGTAAGTCAAGACACAAACAGGGTTTATCCCATAAGGATGCAGGTGCTGTTCATCACCATAGATAACCAATTTGAGCATAGACCAGGAGTAAATACTTGGGTGGAGCGGTGTCCATGCCAGCTGCTCAACATTGTCAGCCTTCCAGGTCATTTATGCCCCATCTTCCTCCAAAAGCACATGAGGTGGCTTATACAAAATTAATGCAGCACAAGATAAAAGTAAAACCTAAAAACAAGAGAAAATGCTGCTTAGAAACAAAAACTAACTAGCCAAACCAGCAGCAGTTAAAAACAAACAAGCAGCAGTTTCCCCTCTGAATACCAGGTGCTGGGAATCGCAGGAGGGGAGAATGCTGCTGCTATGCTCATGTCTTGCTTGAGAGCTTCCCATGGGGATCTGGTTGGTCACTGGACTAGATGGGCCTTTGTCCTAATTCATCAGAGCCCTTTTTACATTCTCAGTTTTCAAAGTAGATCACAAAGCAACAGAAGACTGAGGACTATGGAACAATGTCCTCCTCTGGCTCCCAGGTTTGCCAGCTTTTAAGTAAGGTTGCCTCTTAACCAAGATTTGAAACCAGGATCTGCTGCTGTTTTCCATAGTTTGTGAGAGAACCTCATTAGCAGCTGCAATGGCCAAGTTCCCCCAGGCTCACTGATGGTGATGAGAACTGGGTTGCTTTTGGCCACTGCAGGAATCAAAGGAAGGTGTTGAGGCCGGTGAGATGGAGAGAGGACCTGGACATTGTGACCTAAACACTGGGCAGTGTTGTGTTGTGTTGAGGTTGCAATTTTGATGTGTTTTTGGTTTATTGCCAGGTTTAATTTTTCAAATGTCTCATTTTATTTTATTTTTCTAATATATTTATTGCTCAATTCTTTTTGTAAACTGCTTTGCGCATGTTTGTTTGTTTTTTTACAATCAAGCAGTAAATAAATTTATGAAACAAGTAATTTTGCAGGACTGCAGAAAAAAAATGCAGAATGTGGAATTAGGAGCAGAATTCAGTTTCCTATAAAACCCACTTCAGGATTAAAAAAAAATGCACAAAGCAAGGTTTCTAGGCCTCATGGCAATACAAAGGAGACAGGAGCTTCTGTGAGCTCCTTGCTCCTCCCCTCATCTGCATCCATTATGCAAATAATTGCAGAAAATGACTTTTCAAAAGATGAGACATGATTCAGATTTACTCAGGTAGTGCAGATGGCCAAATCCAGCTCCTACAGTAATGTACTTTGGTTTGGCTGAAGACAGAATTTTAAGTGGGATTTTTTTGGCTGGGTGTGTTGTGTGTGCTACTGATTAGCACAGCTTTGCGTTTAGCTTTTCATGGTGACACTGATGCTCACGTCAGGCTGCGCTTATGCCTGCCCCTTCAGCTTCAAACCGAGGCAGCTTTGCCTGCACAGACGTTACTGTAGCTGTAAATTCAAGGGTTTAATAACCTAACGGTACCTAGACCATAATGCGCCAGATGGATATCTCCCCCCCCGCCACACCTTTAAAAAAAGAGAGAAAGAGAATGAGGCATTAAATCCCAACACCGTCACAAGGGATTGATGATTAAGAGGAACAAAACTCGCCCAAGACTACGTCAAAACTGCTGCAGCGTTGCAAGAGCTGGGATTAGTTCTGGCCTTGCCAGTGATTAGGGCTCAGGCAGCAGCCGAGGGCTGTGTTCTTGGAGTCACTGGAGCATGTGTTAAGGAGCATCAAGGACAAAAAGGCTTTCTGGATCTCCTGCCCCACTGAAGCACCTTCTGCCAGGGTTGCTCTGACCCTGTTGCAGCAGATGGGCTCCGAATGATACCTGAGCTGCGAACTTTCTTGGCGCTTGTAGGCAAAATGTGAATTTAGCAAGGCTATGTACCTACAGGAGCCTGTTTGTTTCCCCTTTTTCCTGACTCTGGCCTTTGTTCTCTTTGCACTCTCAGGAGTGTTGTATGTTTCCCCCTCTCACTGCCCCCCTCACAATGTCACAACTGCAGCATTCCATTTCCCCATGGTCTGCAGCCCTCTGATGAGGGAAGCCCCTAGAATATGTAACATGAAGAGCAGTTAATGATAATGGGACTGTGAACATGCGCACACACACACACACACACCCCACTCCCAAATCCTCATTCACCCACGAAGGAATCACAGGCACATCCTCATCCTGTGGCCTGCAGATTACAGTGAGCTGCTCTGTAGCGGACAGCTGGCAACCCCAAGCTGTGTTCACAGCCTTTGCCTTGCTGGGTTATTGCTGTGGCGTTTTGCTTGCAAGTTAAAAGCCCACAGGGTTTAATATCACCCCCTCCCTCTTACTCCCTGCAGTTGGCAGCTTCAGTTCATTCCATCAGAGTTCAGGGGCCAGTTGCCAAAACCATTTGCCAAGGGACCAATGGCCACTCGCATCATTCCAACAGACATGAACGACCAAAACCAGGAAGAGCCCTCCAGATACGTAAGTGGCATCTTCTCTCTCTCTCTCTCTCTCTGTCTGTCTCTCTCTGGTACCTTGGAAAGGACACGCTTGCTGTGCCCAATGGGAAACAGCACTCTTGATTTCTTTCAGGACAGAACTTCTCTTTAGCATGTGGGGGGTTCCTGTGTACCTGTTTAAACATAAGCAGCCATAGCTGGGGGACACCACTGCATTGGACAAAGCTGTTTCCGTGATAAGTGCCTGGACACTCAAGTATTTTAAAAAAAACAAAACGTAACTTCTGTCACCAAGTTGTCACAGGATGCAAGCAGAATAGATACACCCAGGTCCTAAAAACGTAAACTCTTATGCACAGTACAACCTGTGGCCCAAATGTGCATATGTGAGACAGCTGTAACGCAGAAAAGCATCCCAATTGTTGTTCTTGTACTGATGAGGCAGGCAAGGAGATGTTGTCCCTGCAAAGAGCAGGAGTCCTGATGCTGTGTGAGCTGCATCCCTGTAGGAGATGGGAACCAACCCAAAATGTCCTCTCTCCCTTCCAGTTTGACATTTCCAAATGCCATTACCTGGTGGATTTAGACACTGTAACTGAAGCACCCAGGGAGCCACGGTATGCAGCTAACAGGGAAGAATGGATCAGTATTGCTTACAAGCCTTTCCTGGATAGTTCAAGGTAAGATGCTGAAAAGCACAAGGGGGAAAGGAGGGCTATAGGGGGCGTATTCTGCCTATTTAGGGATCTTCAAAACTCAATTAGGGAACTTGCATCTTTTGGGGAGGGAGGGATGGAAAAGTCGTTACCTGAAAAAGGGAGCAGTAGCCATGTGTGTGTGTGCGTGCGCACTCTTAACCTGCACAGGCAAACTGCACCTGCTCTGTCTGCTCCTTATGACGGTGATGTTTGGAATGGCAACAGCCTGCACTGCTGGTGGATTTTCAATAAAGTTTCCTTTTGGGATGACTTGGTCCAGGGTTTGAGTCATGCTAGAGGTTGAGAAGGAAGGAATTCCCCCCCAGCAGGGAGGACTGTTGTCAGCCAGCAGCACTCTTCTTCCTTCCTTCCCCCCTTTCCCTTGCAAGTGAGTTGTTGACTGCTAAAAAGATTACTGAGGTGTGAAGTTAATCACATCCCCTCACTTCTAAATTTGCATTTCCCCTGTGTCATCCTCTTCCTCCTCTCAGCAACTGTTCTGGCTGAAGTTTTGCTCCCAAGTCTACTGGTCCCAGGGGTGCTCACCTTTCAGGAAAGATCTGCCAGCCTCATGAGACAACTGAGGGTGGGATTTCGGGTCCCATGCAATCCACTTCCTCTTCCCCTTCCAGCCTCACGTTGACGGCTGCGACATGTCTGGCTCCTCCGAAGTGTTCACCAGCTGTCTGGCTTCCCCAGCACTCCCCACGCTTTTCTCTTTATATATTTTAAAAGATAAGAGCGTGATCGAGAATTGTTATTTTAAAAAAATAAATAAAAAGCTTGATGAGTGGGTGGATGGGAAGCCAGCTCTGCGAGAATTTCCCCAAGGAAGGTGGCAGTGGGAGATGTGTTAATAGGTTACCAGCTTGCTGGAGTATCTCAATAGGCAGCTGGGGGGGGTGGCAGGAGGAGGTGCAGCTGACTGTGCTGGCGACCCAGAGAGGCAGCATCTGAAGCAGCTGCTTCCATCCTTGGCCACTTCTGCCGATACTGAATCTGAAGAAATTACATTGTGTTAAATATTCCATAGCTTGTGCAGCCTGGCAATAATTCTGTGTGCGATGAAGTGGTATTTTTCACTGTGGTTTGGCTTATGCACTCACAAAACATATAGAAATGCATTGACAGTGAGACAAATATCTCCAGTGCTTTAGTTTCTGAAAAGGAAGACATCTGACCTTCAGTCTGCCCTTCCTCACCTTGGGGAAATCCTTCCCTCAAATGTCAGATGTGTTTGTTCTGCAGTACGTGTTCTGCACACGCTCAGAGGAAGTGTCACTTTCATTATTTTATATGTTCCAAAGGAAAATGGGGGCTTAAAAACTGAAAAGTTACTGGGGCTCAGTCCTGGCATATGTTTAATCCCTAAATATTCTAAGCAGCAAGCATGAATTGAAGCCCTGAGCCCTTTCCATGCCTTCCTTTTTATGGGAACCTGGTGGAAGACCCTCCGTTGACTTGCCTGTAGCAGTGACAGCTGGTTACTGCTTGCTCCTGGTTCAGAGGGAGGAAGAGCGAGAGCCGGGGGCATGCTGGATTTTGGCAGCCTCTAGATCTGGCAGCTGCTCCGTCGATCCAAACATAGCGGTTCCAAAAAGAGAGAGTGGCGGGTGTATGCAGGGGAATGGATCTGTTAATAGCTATTGGCTGTTTTCAGAGACTGGAATTTGACCGAGGAGATGGAGGGAGAGGGGAGGTCACGTGGCTGCTTGCAAACGGACTCGAACCTCTGGCTGGCTGCCCCTCTCTCAGCCCGGCTGACCTCCACTGCAGTGCAGCCAGCTGCCTAACTCCTGAACCCTCAGGGAGAATGCGGACTAACAACTTTCTGTTTCTCTGTCCCCCTTTGTGGTCTCCAGGCACTGTGTAAATCAAAAACCACCAGACTGACCATGACCACTGCTCAGTGTTCTCAGGCAATTTCTACATGGGTGGGCCTTGAGTTTAGCTGCTCCTGCTGCATTCTGTACCTGAGAGTGCCACAATTCTGCGCTTGAAACTATTTGTGTAAATGTAGTAATATAGCAGGGCTGTAGCTGAGAAACGGGATTTCAAGTAACATTTTGGGCTTGGAGGCTGGGGTAGGAGGGACCAGGGCACAAACACAGGAGAGCCAGTGGGGGCTGCTGCACTGGGCTGCCACTCTGCGCTTGCTGCCTGACGAGTGCGTTTTATCTTTCTCACAACTACTGTTCCTCTTCTCTGGGAAACTGAATGACCCTGGCTGCTCGATTCATGCTTGCTGAACCAGAGGCTTCTGGGACACAAAGAGTCCCCCATTGACGTCAGCCAGTGCCGTGGTAACTCTCAGTTGGCTTTGATAAATGGTGCTGCTAATTGAATTAGAGAGCACTCAGAGCCATCGACTAATTATGCTACTCAGGCAGCAGCTTTGTCTGGGTCCATTTAATTCTGCATTGGCTGAGCGCTTCAGTTCTGGGGGAGGAAAGGGCAGGATGGATTAGGGATCCCAGCTGAGGCAGCAAAGGCATGTGCCAGCACTTTTAAACCAAGGAGACCCTCCCCATTCCCCACCAGCTGCCTTAGCACTTCCCCACCCCCTCAAGCATACAATAAGCGACCAGGGGCTTTAAGCAGGCCAGCCCTCCCTGTCAAATTCTTTTTTGTTCCCCTTTCCCTATAAGTGATGTTCAACTGCCCTTAATGTTCCAATTCCCCCCTGCATATCTAGGGAGTCTTAGAAACCCTCACTCTCTCTGTGGCTAGGCCTGTTTTGGTGCCTTCCCACCACCAAGTGTGCTATTAATAGCTAGCAATGTGTGTGTGTCATACATTTTATTTTCAAAAGCTTCCTTGGTTTTCCAGGTCCTCAAAGTTCTTTCGGGCCTTCTACATCCCCTTCCTGTCCCACCAGCACACAACGTACATGAACTATACCATCCTGAAGCCTCGGCGCTTCAAGCAAGCCAGGAAGAAAGCTGGAGGCTAGCTCGAGCCTCTGGGGATCCAACGAGAACCAGCTGAAGATGCTGGCTTCTGCTTCAGGGGTCTCAATCCCACCTGCCCACTCCCATTTTTTGTAAGAGTGGCAGTGGCTGTGGTGGGTGGGTAGGGAAATGCTTGGGAAGGTTTCCCTTTTTTGGCTGGCTGTGCTGCAATATTATTGACCACCTGATCTGCTATTGTTTGGGGGCTCTGCTTCGCTTTCAGAAACTCCTGGAAAGTATGAGCAAGGAGTCATCTTGCTGAGGAGTCAACAGGAGCAAAAATCTTGGTTTGTGTGAAAGTTTACCAAGTTTCTGGCTGAGAGGTAGCCTGGGGCTGCTGTGGGTCTTTCAGTATTTCCCCTCCACCACAGAACATCTCGCCAAGCCTGGAGGGAAGTTTTTTTTTGGGGGGGGGTATGTGTGTGTTTTAAGAGGCCTTTTGGAGAGAGAAAACAGCCTCACCAGCAGGAATGCACAATGCTCCCTGGTGGGTCTTCAGGGGAAAAGGCCCTCCTTGACTCAGATGGAGCAGAAATAACTTGCACTTTCGAGAACTGTGACTCTGTTAATTACATAATTTAGTGAAACATTGACTTGTGCGTGAGTGGGTTTTTATTTTAAAAACCTCCATTGTCTGTCTTGTCAGCTGCTGCCAAAACACGGGTTTGTGTAGGGTGTTTTTTTGTTTTAAGTTTCCTTCCACCACCACCCCTCTACATTCTAGCTTCTTTGTGAAATGTCTGGCTTTGTAATGTTTCCAAATTTACTAAAGTGCGGAAGGGAGCTCTCCTCCTCACTGCTCACCTTTCGCTGTGGAATACAGCGGCTTCTCATTCAGTCTGCACTGTATGTACTATGAAACTGTGTCATTAGTGATTAAAAATTAGGCTTGTACCACCCCCAAATGCAGTTTTAGGTATGGAAGGAAAGTGCGTGTGTTGGTCTCTCTCTGTCTTTCGTGCACCCACAGCTCTAACTGCATCATCCACAGCCTCAAAAGTAGATGAGAAAAGTGCTGACGACATGTGAGAGCAACAGGTGATTTATTTCATGATGGGAAGGCCAAGGTCTCCCTACTGAGGCTAGAGCTGACATTTTAAGCATCCAACGAGACTGTCCTGCACCATGTACAGCTAATGCATCTAGCTGGGGCCCCTGAAGAAGTGGGAGGCAGCAGATGATTTTTCACCCTAAACTTGTGCATGTTAAAAAAATCACAAAACGTGTTATTCTGAAGAAACGTTTGAGGAAGCCACTCCCAGAAGCATATGAGGTGATTTTGGTCACTTAACCTTGTTCACCTGAATTGTAAGGAAGAAAATGCAGCTGTTAAGTTTTTCCACAAAAGATAATGTAACTAAATATTTCATATGGGAGCAGGGCTGCAGGCTGAAGATTCATTGCCACCAGTGTGGCCAGAAGTGGGATTGAATGAACATCTCCATCCCAACACGAATCTGGAAAACCGGCGCATCATCTTCACAGGAAGGGCAGGAGATGTGGCTGGGCAAAGCTGTGAAGAGGAGAAGAGAAAGGGTTGTGTCAGAAACAGACTTAAGGAGAGCTTCTTAGCCTCTCCCTCCACAGCTGAGTTGGAGACAGCAGAGGCTGCCTGGGATCTACAGTGTGGTCTGATTCAGCTGGTGATTTTTTCCCCTTTTAACATACTTTAGAGAAGGAATAGGAGAGTGCTGGTCCCATTTAAATACTGTACTTGCTGGTTGCCCTTTTAGTCCTTCTAAACAGCACTGGCTTCTCTCCTGCCCACACCCCGAAGCTGTGCTCTCTTGTGCCTTTGTGCTGTGCAAAAGGCAAAAAAAATCAACCCTCCTTAACGGCTAGGAATATCTTGCTACACAAAGCAGGCTGCATGAAGGCCTATCGTCCTCACCACAAGAGCTTTTGCACATTGGTGCAACCGTGCATGTGTGGCCTCCGTCCCCATTTGCTCAGTAGGGCAAAGAAGAGGGCTCACGTGTGCCTTGCTATGTACAGAAAGGCAGAGAGCAGCTGGGAGTTTTGTTAGTCACGATGTCTCGAGCTGATGTTCTGGAGACTGGAGCGACCCTTCCAGCTGGTTTATGCAATGCAGCATGAATCATGCCATCAACAAGCTCGGGGCCTATTATTAGATTAGGAAACTGCTGCCTCAATGCAAGATCTGCTCATAAAGATCAGTTATTTTTTGCCACAGTTCTCAACTAGGGGATGCTGGCCAGAGAAAATAAGAGGCTCTTTGCTTCTTAGGAATTCCTCTTCTCCTGCAGCTCAACTAACCTTTGACATCCAATACAGAACTTTGTTGTTGCCCAAGTTTTAATATTTGTCACTATCGGCCCCAAATTCTGAGGAGGTTCCAGGTTGTCTCTACAGCAGTTCACACACCAGTTACAATCTATTGTGCCCACTAAGCTTGTGAGTCTGCATGGCAGGCATCCGCTTGTGGTGCAGGCATTATACCGCTCAGCAGAGCTGTTGCCTCCCCCAAAATACTTACCCTCTGCTGTTCTATGGTTGCAAGATAATGTTCTCTCTCCTTGCAATACAACTTTTCAGTCTCTCAAAAAAGTATCAAGATAACTTACCAAAGAGTCACCCTCTTCAGACCACTCACTATATATATATATAAATCAACGGGGAAGCTTTTGCTGGGTTGCATATACCACCTGAGGCCAAGGGTGTGTGTCCAGGTTTTAATGTCCCTTGTGGGGAAACACTCCCAACTGCATAGAAAACTAATTCATCAAGAGAAAGCATTGGATCCAGAGGTTTGCCCTGTGTATTTCTTAATCTCAAAGAAGAAAAGGCGAAGGCAGCAAAATAACGCGCAATAAAATCTCTCAGCTGCTGAAAAATGTGTTATCTATGGATAATCCTTTCCCCTTAACCCCACTGCCTGACACTTTCCAAGAGCCACTACGTCTCTTGATTTGCAGAGGTCAAATCACTTCCAGCTCGTCCGTCCCCTCATTGGGCTCGCTAGGGGACAGAAGTAATCTGGAGTTGGGGAACTAGAAGGGCCAGCCCTAATATTGGGTAGAGGGAGGAAGCTGCCTCGGGCAACAGATGCGGGGTGGCGTGGGAAGGGAAGGGAAGGGAAGGGAGTGGTGGTGGTACTGGAGGACAGAGCTATGTAGACCATGAGGTGTGACAGGTGCTCTTCATCCTGCCTTTAGGTACAGCAGAGGACGTTGTCCACATTGAAAAGCCACCTGCCAGTCTGTGCATGGAAGGGGTTGTGAGCAGTGGAGGCTGCTGCATTAGGGGAAAAGGGGCACTGCCCCACCAACCTGTCTGCCTTCAACCTACAAGAGCTCAGGGTGGCTCCACTTTCATTGGCTCTGGCGCCACCTACTGCTGGTCTCCCTGCCTTCCACCCTACAGGCGTGAAATGCGCAATTTGTCTTTCCCCCTCTCAGGTAGCAGAAGTTCTCGGGCCAGTCCTGAGAACCAGCCAGCACTTGTCCCCTTTGGAAAACAGCCTATGCTCAAAACACACTGGAATAAAGGGGGGAAATCCCCCTTCACTTCCCACCAAATCCACCTTTACAGCACTTGAGAGGCCTTGCCTCCTTAGCACGGTCTTTCGTCACCCCCTGCCTGGCTTCCAGAAGGAGGAGCCTTGACCTCAGTTCGCCTTGGCACCGCAAGGGTCTGCTCAGGGCAGGCTCTTTCCTGGGCTCGCTCCTGGCAGTAAACAGACAGCGTTGCGTCACCATCGGGCTCGCCTTGTGACCAGGCAGCCGCCAGGAATGCAGCGACCCTTTCTCCAGGGAGCCTGAGGCCTTGGCGTTGGTTTTGGCTGCCTCCCAGTTGCTGCCTCAATCTGCGTTCAGAAGAGCTCTTGTTTCCCTCTGGATTCGCATCCGAAGGAGCGCTGTGACAACTTCGGCCCGCTCACTCTGCAGGAGAAAAACAGACAATCCTGCTCTCTGTCCACAGGTCACACTGCCCGGCTACCTCTCTCCGTCTGAAGCACTAACGTTGACTTTCCAGTGACGACCTCCCCTCCCTCTTTATGGGGGCGATGAGCTGGTGGTGAAGCACGGAGGGAGCCGAGCAAGCTGCCTCTTTGCATTAATCCCCCTGCTGTTGCGAAGCCTCGCTGTTGACTGAAAGAATGAGTTCGCGCTGGGCTCGGGGCTGCAGCAGCTTGCCAGCTGGAAACAGCTCGCAGCGTGCAACTCGCCTGCTCTCTCGCATAAATGACAAAGGGAGGAAGCTGCCTTATATATGCCGAGTCAGAGAATCGGTCCCTCCAACTCAGTATTGCCCACACTGACTGGCAGCAGCTCTCCACAGAGTTTCAGACGGGAGGTTTCCTCAGTCCTAACGGGAGTTGCTGGGATTTGAAAGCAGGACCTTCTGTGGGCAAGCAAATCCCCCATTGCTGAGCTATATGGCCTTTAAGACGCAGGAAGCTGCCATTTACCAAGCCAGACCAATGATGCATCTAGCTCAGCCTCACCAGCACTGACTGGCAGTGGCTCTCCAAGGTTTCAGATGGGGCATTCCCAGCCCTACCAGGTGACACCAGGGATTGAGGTAAAGGTAAAGGGACCCCTGACCAATAGGTCCAGTCGTGGCCGACTCTGGGGTTGCGGCGCTCATCTCACTTTATTGGCTGAGGGAGCCGGCGTACAGCTTCCGGGTCATGTGGCCAGCATGACTAAGCCACTTCTGGCAAACCAGAGCAGCGCACGGAAACGCCGTTTACCTTCCCGCCAGAGCGGTACCTATTTATCTACTTGCACTTTGACGTGCTTTCGTACTGCTAGGTTGGCAGGAGCAGGGACCGAGAAACAGGAGCTCACCCCGTCGCGGGGATTCGAACCGCTGACCTTCTGATCAGCAAGTCCTAGGCTCTGTGGTTTAACCCACAGCGCCAGCCGCATCCCAGGGATTGAATTGGGGAGAAGCAAAAGCTGCGGTGGCCCCTTCCTTGCCTCTCTGTTGCTCTGCCAGGGGGCCACCACCTCTCCTTCCTTTAAACCATTGCTCAAAGGACCCTTTATGTGGGGAGCCCCTTGCATAAAATCCCTCATTCCTGACGCAAATTTGTATAAGGTTATTTGCCCATGTCTACTTCCCTGGCTGCCAAATGTTTGGAAATTTCTCGAGGCAGAGGCTTTCGGTTGCTAATTTCACTGAACATCACTTGGTGTTTTATTATACCTTTAATAGTTTATTTGTGGCATCAAGAATACCAGATTCACTTTTCGTTTCATTTTTTAATAATGTGAAGAAGTGGGGTGTTTGGGGATCGTACTGTGCTCCCCAGTAAGGGCTTGCCATTTATCTGATCCCTATTTTTCAAAACATAGCAAGTAATAAAGAGGTATGCCATGCATGTTAAGTAGGGAACAAATAGGGAGAAGGGGAGCCGCTCAACCTTTGCTGCTCCTCACGAGCAACTGTGATGGGATCCTCGCAGTGCCAGAATAAATTCCCCTTGGTACCACCACAAAGAGAACGCTCAGCCCAGCCCTGCTGGCTGTTTATCAAAAATGTGCTTGTTTTTGAGGGGGGAAAATGTTAACAAAACAAGACTGGAAGGTTTTGGACTTTGAACTGGAACAAGGATAAATAAATAGCTGATAAAAGAGAGGCAGGAACAGGAGCCAGTGGGCTTTGAAGTGCATTGGGGGCATGAGGCAAGAATTGCAGGCCGAGAGCCGGAGAACACGCAGAGACAGGAATGATCATAATATTTTGTAACTGGTGGTACGAAGAACACCCCCCCCCCCATATCCACATAATTCCTTGCTTTGTAGAGGTGGATGCCTGAAAGCTTACAACACTAAGATGACTTGGAAGGATACTGGCTTCCAAAGCATCCCTGGGAATTTTGGTATAAAAGGGAGGGTTATTGTGAGAACTCTTGTTAGCAGAGGTGCTTGCATTTTCTAAGCAGCTGCAGTTCCCACAGGGTTCGGATTTGAAAAATCAAACACTGATATAAGCCCTTTGGAAAACAAGGAAGAGAAAATAAAAGCATACTGGCACAAAGAGGAATATGTGTCGGACACACGTAATGTACGAATGGCCTTCAGAAAACGAGGGACTGCATTCATCAAGTCCAGGAGTAAAGTCACCAAAAAACAGTGGCTGAATCCTACAGACAACCTCTTAGCACAAAGTGTGTGTAAATTGCTTTGCAGGGTGGTTTTGTTTTGTTTTTGAAATCTGGATAACCAGCCAGAGTACTACTGGGCAGACCCATACCCCAAATTTATGTGGTAAGACAGTGGGAATCACAGGATGCTTCTGAACAACTTGCTGGCTGAGTACTCATCCCAATTTGTGGGGAGATTAGATGAGGTTGCGTCAAAGCAAGGGTCGGCCTGCACTTTCCAAGATGTTTCCCAGTCACTTCCCTTACGGTAAAAGTCTGATCATTAACCATCAACCGTAATTGTACAGCCGGGATTTGGCCAGTTTGTGATGGAAACCCACACAAAAATAGCAACAGCCTTGGAACGCCCAAACGGAAGGGTGAGAACAGAAATATATCGGGTTTCCAACATGCTTGAAATGACTTAATGTTATTAATGGATTAATGGATCCAGTATTTGTTTCTAGATAAAGCTGGCTATAAGGCTGTTTTGACTCGGAAAGTTTAGTCTGCCATTGTAACCCCACTTACCTGGGAGAAAGCGTGCATTGTCCTTCCAATCTGAAAGGCTGCTCCTTCAGGTAGTTGACTCTACCTTTCTACGATTGAGTGACAGGTGACATGGCTGCCCCTACCCATCCACCAGGGACAGCCAAAGCAGAAGCCTACTTACTCAATATGCCAAATGCCCCCCCCCCTTGCTCACAGCAAGCCTGCAGAGGCAGCCACTGACTCTAAGGACAAACGTGATGTTGTTGTTTGGAGGGGTGTTGCCAGCCAGGTGTTGTCCAAGATACCAGCCCCCACAGTGGCAAGAAAGGGGGATGACGGATGTGCACTTTGTTAAATTTCCAAAGAAAGTGGCTTTGATAATAATAAAAATAATAATAAACCCGTTTCCTTGGCAACTGCTGATGTCAGGCTTGCTCTGGCAGGGAGTGTTGGCTGTGCAGACCCCTCAGAGCTTGAGGCTAACTGGAAGAAAGAGAGAAAGGCAAGTGTCAATAAATAACCCACCTCAACCGGCAAGTCACAAAACACTTCCTGGCCATTCACTGGTCTTGAACTCAGACCCCTCTGCCGATCCAATGAGGCTCACTTGAGGTAAAACGTTTTAGTAGTTGTAAGGTGCTTATTGTCTTTGCAATCACAACAGCAATGTGAAAGAGAGGTCATATATTCCCATTTTACAGACGCAACATTGAGGCCAAGAGACAGCAACTAGGTCAGTGGCCAAGACCCCAGACTTAAGGGCAACTCAGGACAGATGTGGGCACGTAGCCTTTTCTAGTCTCCTTTCTAAGTTCACCTCCTCTGCTTATTCATTATTGGCTTGCAGGCATATAATCTCCATCAAGGTTCACAGCCGGTATCTGGAAAATTGATCTCTTGAACTCTACATGTTTCAAGTCTCAGCCGTCAGATTTGGGAGCTGGTGCAGCGTCAACAGCTAAGAGGGCAAGTTATGTATGAGTCGATATGTCTGCGCTTCAAACCTTGTGTCTGCTGTGAGCTCACCAGTGGGATTTTCTGTGTCAATTAAGTAACCCCCCCTCCACGACAGGGATGACTGTGGTCTACCTTACAGTGTTCTTGTAAGGTTTACTGAGCCAGCACATATACGCTAAGAAGTGCTGGGTTGAAAGGCTCTCTTAACACCTCCCAGTTACATCGACAACACAGAGATACCAGCGCTAATTGTGACGGGTTGATTCAGCCAGAACAAGAATCTTGAGACATGGCCAGACTGAATATCAACTGCTTTCTTGGCTTCTTCTGGGAACAACCCCCGCTGCATCCAGTCCCCAGGTGCGTTGTGGCTGCTGCATGCAAGGCTGCAGAGATAGAGATTTATGCATTATGCACACTAATCCAAGTGTGGCTGTAACCGTAACCTGGGGTGGGGTGGGGGGAGAGGGGGCCGCAGCTTCTCTTCCTGCACAAGGTGACTGTGGGTCAGGCACTGGCAAGCGCGAGCAGAGCGTCTCCTTGGAGCCGTTGCCATGCCAACACATCTGCCTAGGTGATTGCCACTTGTTGAAGGTCGGAGATGAATTAGCAGCTGGAGGAAATGGCAAGGGGGAATTAGAGAGCTGGAGGGTTTAACACTCTCCAGCCAAAGGGTTTGACACCCAATTTCTCTTGCTAAAAGGTGCACTCTAAAGGAGCAGGGGCCCTTTCTCTGAGACTTCTACACTGCCTTGTAGATGCAAATTGAAGTGCTGTATAAGCAGATTGGTAGGGACGCGGGTGGCGCTGTGGGTTAAACCACAGAGCCTAGGACTTGCCAATCAGAAGGTCGGAGGTTCGAATCGCCGCAGCGGGGTGAGCTCCCGTTGCTCGGTCCCCGCTGCTGCCAACCTAGCAGTTCGAAAGCACGTCAAAGTGCAAGTAGATAAATAGGTACCACTCCGGCAGGAAGGTAAAAGGCATTTCCATGTGCTGCTCTGGTTTGCCAGAAGCAGCTTAGTCATGCTGGCCACATGACCCAGAAGCTGTACGCTGGCTCCCTCGGCCAATAAAGCGAGATGAGTGCCACAACCCCAGTCGGCCACGACTGGACCTAATGGTCAGGGATCCCTTTACCTTTACCTTCTATCCAGAGAGCCATCAGCCACTAAAAGAAGAGAGGCCTGGGGGGCGGTATCAATCATTACTTGCTCCCCCAAAGCAGATATAAAATAAAGCAGCAGCAGTCAAACACTGAGCTTTATGGATTCTTTCCCCAGGAAGCACAAATTCCGAGATCTAAATTTGTTAGGTAATATTTAATATTGCTTTAATTTATTCTGCTTCCACAATCTGGGTTAACTAATAACTTGGAAGTTATCTGGAAACTTTTGAGGCTAGAAACAGGTGAGCAACAGAGATGTTTCCTTGTTATTCTCCGGGGTTAAATGAGAAAGAAGCGAGGAACAGAGATGTGCAGTCTTCAGGGTGCTGAATTTGGAAATGGGTGGCCGGCTGATTCTCCGTTTTTGCATGGCCAGTCCTGAGATAAACAGAAAGCAGCCAGTGAAAATGTCTCTTGCCCAAGGTGTTTCCACGCTGAGCACGGGCAGATTTTGTTTCTCCAGGCACCTTCCCCCTCTTTTCCGCTCCTTTGAATTCCTACTCTGTACAAAAAAAGGAGAAAAGAAATATACTGCAGAAAAAGGCATCTGGCCTGTGCAGTTTTCTTTGCAGTAGGATGGCCTCAGCAGGGCCTCGCTGAAAGGGCAATGCATACTCTGGCAATTTCAATGCAGGGTATTATTTACCCAGCTGACGTCATTCAGAGCACATTCTCCGCTTCCATTCTCTCTAGAAGCCTCCAGGATATAAGGCACCTGATCGTTTTACTGGCTTGAAAATGCTGGCTAGCCCTTTATATAGAGCAGTGCATGAAGCAGAGGAAGGTAATAGAGAGAGAGAGAGCACGTCACCTTGGACTATTTAGGAGAGTAAATAGCCTTCCCAGTTTAATTTGCTTCTTTCTATGCTCCTTGTTGCCAATTCTCCCCCTCCCCAAAACTCCAAATGAATTATTGCAAAAAAAGACAGGTTGCTACTATTTATGTTCCAAAATCTGAGGGAAAGGTTTCAAA